TGATGTCCAACGTGTTGGATCCATATATATATATATATATATATATATATATATATGCGTTCTTGGCTGTAGTGCTATGAGATGTCGGAACCCATGGCCGTGAGGTTTGGTAACAATAAGTATAGGCTGTTAATCTTGGTTGCCGGCATGGTGGCTCACGATTGGCATTTCGGGTGTCTCCGCACAAGCCAGCATGCCCAGTTGAGCCTGCGGAAAGTTCAAAGCCACTGAAGGCAAGACGTACGAAACTCACGGAGATAGATTGATTCCGTCATGCAGACGAGCATGTATGTATGTATGTATGCATGCATGTATGTATGTACATATGTATATATGTACGTATGTATGTATGTATGCACATGTATATGTATATGTATATATATATATGTGTGTGCACACACACATATATTTACATATATATATATATATATATATATATATATATATATACATATATTTATATATATATATATATATATATATATATATATATATATATATATATATATATATATATATATTATATATATATTATATATATATATATATATTCATATATATATATATATATATATATACATACATATACATATATATATATATATATATATATATTTGCATACACATGTGCGTTTACATGTGCATTTTGCATGATATGCTCATTGAGATGTATATATCAACATACACATTTTTACATATATATATATATACATATATATATATATGAGGGCTACAGTATCTTCAAGGGCCTTCTAGGTGTAGAACGAGGAGGCACAGTCAAGTGACTAAATAAAACTTTGCGATGGGATATCAAATTCTAATAGGGTGTGCACCATATTCAAAAGGAAGCCCAGTGTCCAATTGGCAACCCCGTCAAATAGGAAAGCCAGTGTCTGATAGAATGGCTTCATCTTATGGCAAAATCATTGTGACATACGGCGGATCGGCAACAACAGCTCTTAAAGATAATCTGCGCACACACACACACACACACACACGTGCACATACATATATATATATATATATATATATACACGCATGTATGTATGTAGGTATGTCAGTACGTATGTATGTACATATGTATGTGTGTGTGTATATATATATATGCACACACACACACAGGTATTTGTGTAAGCAATGGCTTTGTTCGTATGTGTGTGTTAACCGTTTGGTTTGCATTGTACGTGTGACACGCGCGCACACACACACACACACACATTCATTCATTCAGCTATCCCGTTTGAAACCGCTCAACCCCAGCAACTCCCACGGCCTCTACTGCAGGCTCGACGGGCGCAGCTGAAGGTTGAGGCCAGGGCGGCCCTGGGTGTTGCAAGGGAGTTTGGGCCTTTGAGGTTTGGGGTTCAGGGGCCCCGGCACAACTGGAGGTTCAGGGCCCAAGGTTTCAAGGGGACCATTTGTAGAAGCTTGGGGGTTGCAACTTGCAGGGCTATTCGGATTGGTTCGCTGTAGCAGTGCGGGTCTCTCAGCAGAGCTTCTTGGATTTGTCAGAGTTTGCGTTTCTTGCAGGTGGGGTGATTCGGATCTGGGCCTTGCGGTTGCAGGCATAGGTTTAAGACCCAACGACGTGGATTTGAGGTCTTGGGCATTTAGGGCTAATGAATCCGGTTGAGGTATGCGTTGGATTCCGTGGCTTGGACTTTCAGTGTCTAGGCCTGGCAGGGTGTGATTGCGGCTTGATCCGTTGATTTGACCTGGGCAGGGTCTATCAAAAGCTCTCATGCATATTCGACACCCTAGGTGTTTTTATGCCACACTCTGTGTGGCAAGGAGCACAGCTATGTAGACACAGCCTGAAGCCGAAGAAGAAGTTTTTTGTCCGGCTGGAGCTCCTAACCTGTGAACATTGACACTGACAAGAGGCTCGCTGCCCACATCCGTCAGTACTGCAGAAGTTGCAGTTGAAGTGTGAGGCACCAGCGCCCCTGCAGCCAGCAGCTGCGAATCCTGAACTGTTGAAAGAGGCTTTGCAGGCCTGCCACTCTTCAGCTTAGGATTGAACGGCTTGCTTAGACCGACAACCGCTGCTGCTCCTTCTTTCACCTCACCCGCTTCCTCAGTCTCGGATCCTATAAGCATGCATCAGGTCAGATAGGACAAGCAAGTAGATTTCCACGGCATTCTGAGGTAGGCTGGTTACTTGCACTGGGATCTCATAACATTGGTGCCCTGTGAGTCGCGGCCTAATGGAGAGGCTTTTTGTCTGACTCTGTTGCACTCAGATCCAACATCCTTCGGAGTTACGTGTTTGCTGCTCAAGCAGGTTTTCGGCTCTTGGAAGGGCTGACAGATCCAGTCTTAAAGCCCGATCAATTGCTTCGAATCCCTACAGTCACCGCTCCAAGTTCAAATCGCTATCGGTTCTGAAACTTGTTTGGCTTGAGAAGGGGCGAGGGATAACTGAAGCCGATGCAACTTCCATCTCAACACGTTTTCAGCATGCCATGTTTTTTCGCACAGGCTCCGATGTTAAACTTCCAACTTGCAAGGATGTTGACGAGAGAGCAGATTTAGCATTGCAACTTTACCTCATCATTTAATATGATCCTCTGTCGATAGTGGGTTTTTGGCTCTGACAAAAGGTAGTCGCGTGGTGCAGGTCGGTTTTAGGATTTGCACAGGCTTTGCCCGTTGGGGGTCGATGTTTCAGGAAGGTTTCGGCTTTAGTGGGGCTTGTGAGAGTATGTTTTATTGCATCATAGTTACATCAACAACCGTACATATCAATCACTAAAATACCCGGACCTATCGTAGTCTCACAGCCTACAGCTCTGAACTCCAAATGCAGTTTGCCGGCCTCGGCCACACATCCTGCACCAGGCCTCCCACAATGCTTTGCTGACTGCCGCTTCGGTCCATGACGCGGAGGCCAAGGGAAATACGAAAGTCGTGGCTGGAGTTTCTACATATAGCGCGTTCCAGGCTTCTGCATGGGCTTCTGACCTATGAATGTCTAAGCTGTAATAAACTCCGACAGCCTGTAGACAGCCGCGACATGGACATACTCACCAGCCTTCTATGTATTGGAAACCGTATACGTGCAGGGCTGGAATATGGGAAGCCTGCAGTCTACGGGGTCGCGAGGGCTTTGCAGACGGATGATGTCAAAACGGCCAGCTCGCTGTAGAAGACCCCCCATAGTCTCCGTAGTCTCTGTCAGCGTAACAATAGAAAAAGGCCCGGCAGAACTTGTTTTACATGCAACCGAATGGGGAAATAGTCAGACCTCTGTATATTCGCATGTATGTGTATGGCACAAATGCATAAACACATAGATAAAAGATACACCGGTGAATAATCCCTGTGCCTCCAGTTGCTTCGCCAGTGAGTACTTGGTCTAGAATCTACCAGTTCAGGCTTTTGTGCCAGTCAAGGCATTACCCTCGAAAGTCCTCGTCTGGTAGAATTCAGTTGTTCGACGATTGTTCGATGCCCCAGCTTGTGCTCGCAGTTTCGTGTGAGGCGCTATATGATAGCTGTTGCTGGTGACATATACATCGAATGCACACATGTACATATGCTTAAAACTTCATTCATGTGTGTCACATATGTGGGGGTGTCGTATACATATAGGCATGCCATGGCCATCACATATCATGGTAGTTCGATCGTTAAAGCGAGCGAGGGGCACTTTTGTGACCAGTGGCCATGGTGCTCGGGCGAGCTTTGCGGCTGCATTATGCAGCACGTGCACAGAGCAGCAGAGGTGTGTCCTCCGGATCCCCCCCCCGCATTGCACTTGCAAGCTTGCTGATCATGAGTGTGCAGTTGATTGCATTTAGTAGCCTTTGCATGTGCATGTGTCAGAACCGTGAATCCATCCTGAGTGGTGGCCCAAGCCTGACACGACCTGCGATCTTCGTTTCGACCTGCGAAAGCATGGAGTGCTTTGCGATTGATGGTGGAGGTTTGAGGGTGATGAAGCCCCTCCGTTACATCGTGACGGCCCCTTGCTGGTACATATAGGTGATGCGAGGCTAGACATATTGATTGTTTCCATGGCATAGCGCTACACATATGAGTATTTCCTTCGAGTAGGGCACATGCATTATAGAATTCGCACTGCTAGCAATACAGGATGCTGCTGAGCTTCTGCTCATGGAGAGCACGAAAGCTGCTCGGTCGAACTTGTATGGCTGAGCATGGTCTCTATACAGGTGCCGTGTTGCTTGCTGGGTTTCGCCTCAGGTTTCTGAGACCGATCTTGTTCTGAACTTCCAAGCCCTCAAAGGGTACACGATTCATCATCTCAAGCAGGACCAGGTCTCGGTGTTGGAGCACCGTGCCGCTTGCATTGTTCTCTGTACGTGTGTTCCCAAATTTTAATAAAACCTTTGGAATTGGCTTGCCTATATCTGAGGCTGCAGTGATGCATTTGGCCGTGGTTTTTGGGTTCTGGACTTCCCGGGACCTGAAGGAGCGAGGAGGGAAAGGCCGGCTGAGGGCCGCTGGGCTTGGATCGCAGCCGATGTTGCATGATCGTATGCAGGATCCTGATTGTATGAGCTAGAGGTGCACGCATAAATAGGTTTTTAAAGGGCCTTCGAATCTCAGGACTGGTGCGCCCTTCAAGGATCCCGGCTACGCCTCTTGGGATCGTATCTGATCAGGCTTGCACAACGCACTCCGCACGCGAAGCAGCTTATCGTGCATATATCATAGCAGGATTCAGTACGCAGGCATGGCTGTGTTGCGATGTGTCTACGAGATAAGGCTTCGGGAGGTCAAGGTGCTCAAGTGCCTCTTCTATGCAGCTCGAGGGTTCGATGTGGACGCCTTGCTGGCTGACCATGGGATGCGGCTGGAAAGCTTGAGTGGCGATAATACCAGAATGCCTGTGGAAGATGGGCCGGGTGATGATGATGATGATGCTGGAGCATGCCACGCAGAGAATGATGCAATGCATGTAGCTTTGACTTGATTGAGGTACAGCATGTGTTCGTTTGTGTGTGTGCAGTTGTAATTTATTATAATGCCAAATGTGTGTGTGTGTGTGGAAACGATATAAACCCACATGCTGGCAGGCCCTCCTTATCGTGGATTCTTCCGGCGATGAGGATGAGCCCCCGGTGGAGGAGATACAGGATTCGGAGCCGGAGCCGGAGAAGTGGCCTGAGCCAGAGAAGCTCCCCGATGATGCCTTTGTGAACTTGAAGGCTAGTGTTGCAGCTAGATGTATCGGCATGAATGGTGGATGTTGTGGGAGTGTTGTTAGACCACAGATCTAGAATGAATCAAACCGGCCAGTTGAAGATCCTCGAGCTCACCAAAAAGGCCGAGTCCACGCTGCCTGATGCTGCCAGCAAGCCGAGCTCGAGTGGCACGGTAGGTGTGCTGAAGGACACCAGCACCGATCGGATGTATAGTGAGATGAGTAGTGCGATATTTACTTGAGCATGAAATGTTCTGAATTATAGGATCGCGAGCGGCTCCTTCCTGAGGGGAGCTACATGAAATTGGATGAACATGCCGTGGACGACCTTCTGGGTGACGAGCCCTTAGACCTGGGTGACCTCCGTGCTGAGCAGTGGAATCTTCGTGCTGTTTCGAAGCAGGATCTGTGTTGTGGAGTCATCATGAGTATTGTGCAGTGATTAGCTTCATAATTTTATGTGTGTGTGTGTGTATGCAGGACAAAGCCATCGCTGTGCTCAAACGGGCAGCCAAAAAAACGAAGGATGCTGATGTTATTGCAGTACCTCGCATTTATAAGATTGGAACCACTCAGTTGAATTGGTGAGACATATGCTTATCATGTGTATGCACTGGCTGCCAAGGCAGTTCATGCGCACGAGGCGAAAAAGCACGCCAAGGCCGGGAACCATGCCGATGCCGAGCAGGACGATGGAATGGCTCAGGATTCTGATGCTCAGGACGATGGAATGGCTCAGGAGTGTGCTCAGGACGATGGAATGGCTCAGGAGTGTGCTCAGGACGATGGAATGGCTCAGGAGTGTGCTCAGAACGATGGAGTGGCTCAGGGGTGTGCTCAGGACGATGGAGTGGCTCAGGGGTGTGCTCAGGACGATGTGGCTAAGGACGATGGAGTGGCTCAGGCCTCTCAGGACGATGGAGTGGCTCAGGACGATCAGGTGGATGATCCAGTGTCGCATGGCATCCGTCGGGCTTCTGAGCTGGAGAAGGCTTGCTTGCTGGATCCCATGGCCCATCAGGTGGCTGTCCCCGACACCCCACTGAAAACCCCTGACCGTGTGCCCGATGATGAGTTGACACCAAGCACACGCAAGGTTCTCCGCAACACATCCTCATACAAGGCTGTTTCGTCCCCTGTGCCGTTCTTGAGTGACATGGCCATGAACGACATGCTTGTGGGCGGCATGCACCAGGATGTGGACATGGGTACCGGTGCAGCATCCGCTGCAGAAGGGCAGATGGTGCTGCCCAGGGTTCTCTTCGCTGAGCAGTCAGCTGGGTCTACTGATGAGGTTGTACCTGCTGAGGTGGATCCGGAGCTGCTGCACGACAACCCATACTCCCGTGAGGCAGCGAAGCGGGCGAAGGAACCCAGCACTGCTGCGATCCCGACGCCCCAGAAGCCTGATTCCAAGAAGGCTAGGTTGGAGGAGCAGCGGCGAATTCGCCACGAGAGGGCCCAGGAGTCGTGGGACAATGTTGTGTTTCCTCTCCGGGACGATGTCCCGGATGCAATGCCGTCAAGTGTGGATCGGAACGGACAGCTGTGGCTCAGCTCATCTCAGCTGCAAAAGTTATAGACATTATTAGTTAGAACAAAATATTTACACACACATGCCGTGCCAAGACAGTGCGGGATTGTTTACTTTCTTGGCCCTCACTTGTACCGTTACTAGATGTTCGAGATACTGCAAACTCAGGAGCTACACGATCTCCCGGCCAGCGGATGTGCCCTTCATGCCCGAGATGCCTAAGGACGGCCCGAAAGGTATTCAAGTCATTCTCAATGCTCGGACATTCTATGTCAGCCTCTCCGTCTTTCATGATGAGTTTGAGATCGAAGCTTCTTTGTCCGCACGCCAGCTAGATCTGCAGGTGTGAAATTGGGCTCAGTGAGACGTCGATAAAACCATATAGTTCGATATCCTCCCCAACAACAAGCCGTACATAGATCGCTAGTTTAACCTGAGTGACTAAACCCAACAGCCCGAGCAATCCCCAGCCTAAGCCAACCATGCCTGAACAGGGGAGCTAGTCAACCCAAGTGGTACTAGTTGTAAACTAATTAGATAACCAGCCCGACATTCCCATACCACGCGAACGGCCCACAATCGAAGTTACTCTATATCTAGCTAAGAGTCGAATCGGTTCGGTTTGTTCTAGCACCATCGCCCGATATGTTCGTGCACGTAAAGTTAAGGGAATCACTTTACTACATTTGTAGAACCTTCTTCAATATATAATATATATATATATATATATAGTTATAACATATGAATATGTATATATATATATATGCATATATACATATATATATATATGTGTTCATAAACATTAATATATGGATCTAGTCCGAGCCGGATCAATCTCGGAGTCGAAGGTCTGTGGGATTTGGGGTTGTAGTACTTAAGCTTAAGGATACTTGGAGGATCATGGGACTTAGTCAGAATAAGCGGTTGTTTTAGTGTTTGGGGTTGTAACTAGTATCATGTTACAAGTATATACAGTTGTAAGTATAACAGGAGAACTAAGTCCCATCATCCTCCAAGTACTTCTTTATATATATATATATATATAATTATACTTTATGCATATAGTGCAGCAACCTGGTTGGCCAGTGCATATTGCTGCAGTTGAGGGTTGCTATGCGAAGAATACATAGGTTTGGTCCGGGATTTATAGTTATTAATCCTGATTCCAAATATTCGCAACCCCTAGCTAGTGGTATAATATCATCCTGAGTTTATATTCAACCCAGATCTAGAGAGAGGGAGCCCGCTCAGGCCGACAAAAAAGGTGGAGCCACGGTCGCCTGGAAGAAGTTCGGTGGCTTTGCTGCTGCGACGCTTGCAAGAATCATTTGTTCTGAACTTCCCGAGGGGGGCAGTACACGTAATTTCTTTCAATAGAGGGATTGACCGATTTCGCTAGCTGTACTCCAGCAAGCACTCAACTGTAATCTTCAATCAGATGTTGGCAACTGCTTGAACTGCTATTGCATGCATTCCCGACATTGAGGTGGGCAGTCGCAAAACGCATGGCCGGATGGACCCTCCCTGCAGGCAGGGCGATTGCTGATCGGCTTGCTGTTAGAATTAGCAACAGAGAGTGCTGCAGACATATGGCCGTGCGAGTCCTGCTAGTGTCTGATCATGGTTCATCATACCCCATGATGCGATTGATGACATATAAGTCCTGCATTACCCACCATAAGGAATATAACATATTTCCATAGTTTAGCCGGGTTCTGAAGTAATGCAGGATTTATATATCATCGACAGTGTCATGTAGTGTACATTTTTTAAAATTCGTGTTGCGATCTGTCGTTCGGTTCGGAACCATGGCCGCCTATTGTAGATCTAGCTTCTCCTGGCAGTCGAAGAGCACTTCACAGCCGCCGTCGCCAACGGCGAGATCGTTCTTCGTGGATGATCGCGATCGGGGAGAGCTCCAGCTGCCTCGGCTGCATATGGGTTTGCAAGTTGAGCATAACAACAGACTTCTGTGTCTTGTGCCCTATTGCAAGCTTCGAATTATTCAGGAAGGCTTCTATGCTACACGGGCTACGGGGTGCCGCTTGATGGTTGCATCAAGTTCTCCGGTGAGGGTCCTTAGCTGATCCTCTGGGCGAGCAGGAGTCGGCACGGAAGCAGATATCTGGAACATAGAGTATAATCCGATTAACGGGCCCGGGTATGTCGAGTGCATGTAGAGATCCGAAGACCCCCTAGGCTTAAGCAAACAACCTTAGGCCTATATATAATAGTATCATTTCTTACATATCGTAATCGGGTATGCATACTTGTATGGCTAGGGGGTCTCGGGACTGTGTTCTGAATTGGAAGCTAGTGACTGTTGTAATCTTCAAGTTGATACGGCTAGTGTACGTGTCTGCATAGGGTGCTCCTCGCCGATCTCCTCTAGTTCCCGATTTAGGAGTTTGCGGGTGGATGGCCTGATGAGTTCCGGCTGCACGCCGTACGTAGGTGTCGGCCCTAGAACACCCACAACACGTTTAAACCTGCGACAAGCTTCTATGTCGAAGTCCCGACCGATGCTTGTGTGGAATCAAAACGTTTGCCCCACGCGGGCACGACTGCTACGAGTGCAACTGCGGAATTATATGAATAACATTAATGAGCTGAGCTTGGCATGCATGCATTCCGTGTGACGTACACACTGCACACTGCAAGGCTTCAAGGTCATTAGTGAATTCATCTGCCAAGACCCCTTACGCCACATATCTCCTAGTGTCTCTCGGGCCTACGAGATCGTCCAGATAAACCATTTATATGTAGAACGGACGAATATCATGATATTGCCATTATATAATCCCCGAACCAATTAGCTATAGCACATTATACCATGTTAATAAATAGTGGCCCAAGAACTGATCCCAGGCTAAGATCCAACTTCTTGTCCTCGGCCTAACCCTGTAACCTTGCTGATATCGACCAGCTGTAGCCGAACATTCTTCGATGACCAGTACCCGCTGAGCTATTAATCCAACCTCCTGCCCTGTACCCATGACGCTCGGGCTTTTGGCTTTCTCAACGTCATGGTGCTGATGATCATTGGCCGCAGTGACTGAGGTGCCTTGGCTTGCTCATGTTTCAATCGTAAATCCGCAATGTAAGGAACCCGTACACGTACACGTGTTCGACCATACAGGGTATAGATCTAGAGTACGCACATGCACCGACCCGACCTTGTATGACGTCGACTAGCCTGAAGCTTGAGGGGTCTCGGGCGGCATAATTGTGTTCATCAGCTTGAGAGTAAGCATGAAACCATATAGCTAATATCACAAATAGATTTATCATCGACTAATAATTATTAGTCGATGATAAATCTATTTGTGATATTAGCTATATGGATCACTATATATCTGTCGCAAACCGTAAACCAGATCCAAATATAATACTTCATTTTAGAGTGCATGCTCCATGATATTCGTTACCGTGCCTGCTCCCTGGCTAGATTTTGAAGTGTCTAGAATGCCTGGTTTGCGATGTCGACATTCGAGGGCATGCTGAGCTCGAAGTTGGGTCCTAAACTACCTTCATGATCGGTTTTGAGATTTGATCACCACCCTGCTTTCTACGCCCTACAAAGCTAGACACGAACACAACTATTACGAAAGGCATCTTTAGCTTCGAACGGAGCCTAACTAATCTAGGTTATTCCTAGCCATTGCAAGGAAGGCTAAACAATAATTATCTTTCAGAGCTGCCAGCCTTCGGTCTGGACCTTCCGGAGCCTTCTCTACTAGTACTAGTAGTGTGCCCTTCAAACAGGCTGGGGCCCCAATCCATTTAGGACGGCTTAACACTAAACTTCACTGTACATCTGCAAATTGAGATGAACCCGGACCAAACCCCGGCCCTGCCCAGACCCTATGCCTTCCCGGCATACCGGAACCCGCTGCCACCACAACCGAGCCCCCCACACCGGACCATACCGACCTCATGCAGAGACAACTGGAACCTGCCCGGGGCAGTTCCGACCCACCCCCCCCAAGCCAGCTGGACACAGCCATACACCACCTGCAAAGCCTCCTCTATGAAACGGGTATGGCAGGAGTCGAGGAAGTCACCTGGTCAGGCAGCTGCTCCGGTGTGTCTGGGTACACGGGCACCTCAAATCTCGTTTTGCCAGGCATACCTCTCTCTCGCTTCGTGATTTTTCTTGAAGCTGTTGAGAGCATTGTAAAGAGCTCCAGTAAGGCAGCAATCCCACTGGCAAGTATGCGGCCCTTGCAGCTTTCACTGGGGAGCACGAGGCCGATCTTCATGCATCGGCTGGCTAATTGGTGGAGCTTCTGGGACTCCGGATCGGCCAAGATCCGACGGTCCTCCTGGGAGAGGTAGGCCTCGAACCGTGGACAGTCTTGGGTCTTGCTCTCCTCCGTTGGATTCGTTGTGCCTGTCGCTGCAAGCTTGTCCGAGAGGATGAGACAACTCGGCCTTTTGCTCCTTGTCAGCCCTGACCTGTGAGTCGCAGAGGGACTGGGCCAAAGTCGTGTGCTCCGCGACGTCCTGCGGGGTCACCGCATCCCACGTCGGATAGGGGCGCAACTCCCCCATGTAGGCCCACACCAAATGCTTGACCCGAACGCTCTCCTTGTAGCGCAACCGCTCCGCGTAGTGGATGGCGCCATCTCGTCGGTGCATCCTCCAGCAGGACTGTTTCTGCTTCGTCGTCCGTGGCGTGGTGGTCCTCTTCTTGCTGCGCCATCTGTCGCTCGAAGTCCTTCTGCTGCGCGAGGTCAGCTAACGCTTCTCTTTCAGCGTCTCCTGGGTCTGTGTTCAGGAGGTTCGCCCCGGTAGTGGGCCAGTCATCGGCCCCTTCTGCGTTGTCCTGGCTCTCCACATAGACGGCCTCATCCCCATTGAGCCACGTGTGCACTGCGGTGAGCGCTTGCCCCGCCAGTTCGAAGGTGTTGCCACTGAGGAAGCCCCGCACGTTCTGTAGGTTGGCGACAGCCTCCATGAGCGTGAGGTGTTGGACGAAGACGGGTCGTTCAGTTTCCTCCACTTGCACCTGGAGCCCGACCACGTCTGCCGGGTGCACGCCCCGCTGTGGTGGCGGCTTGCCATCTGCTACTGTCGCCAGTCGCGCCCCGGTGGCCAGGTTGCGGCGGTGCGCTTGCAGTCCAGGTAGGCCCATGGCTTCCACACTACTGTATGCACTATTTATGAGGTGATGTAGCCCCCGCGCTGCTGCCAGTTGTGTGCTGCTCATGCCTGGGTTGTGCGCCCCGGGGTTGGTGTCCATGGCAGTGGTGGTGAGGTGAAGTGCCTGTGCTAGCTGCTGTAGGACTATTTCCCTTGACAGTGGCGCTGTGGCTGGTGCAACGGCTAAGGAGTGAAGCTGCACGGTTGCTTCCCGGAAGAGGGAGAGTGGGGTCTTCGCCTTTTTGGTAGGGGATGCCCCGCTGCAGTTGGGTGGTGGCTGGGCTGCCCCTCGTTGTTCAGTCAGTTGATTGAGCAAGATCACCACGTGGTAGGCAGCAGCAGAGGCCACTACAGTGGTGCAGATCCCGAGCCAACCACCCATAACCGCAACACAACCCGTGCACCCCGCCACCCCCACCAACCCCCCCACACAACCACCGACGCCGATTGCCCCCGCAGGACCTGCCACCAGACCCCACATTGATGAACACGGCATGCCAATCCATGGTCCGCGCCCACCACCAGGGGTACCACCACTCGCAAACATGCGGCAGGACGAGTACCTGCACTGGCTCACAGCAGGCGACCTCCCAGACTCATACATAGACAGGGATCTTTTTTTTGTTGGCAACCCCGGATCCCCAGGCGACCCCCTCCTTGCCACACCAAGCCGAATACCAAGCGCAGGCAGCCACCACACACGCTGCGGACCAAGACTCCACACTGACCCCTCCAAACTCACAGCCACCAGCCTCCACAATCACAGCAGGAACAACCGACCACGAAAAACCACAACCCAACGGCAGCAGCAACCCTAACCACGCTGGACCCCGCCGCAACAGCACAGGCACCCACCCAACGGGGGACAGAGCCCGGCAACGACCACCCAGAACCAGAGATGGAAGCCACAATGGCCACCACAGTCACTGCGGAGCGTACCGACTCCACACGCAGCAACAGCTCCAGCCACTGCAACCGACAGTGCCCCCACCCACCCGGCTCCCAACCAACAGCGACAGCACCCGAGACAGCCCAACCACCCCAACCACCGCTGGAGGACAGCGAGGACGATCAGCCCAACCCCCATCCCCCCACGCGCTCCCGAGAAGGCCGGAGAAAAAAGGCATACCAATCGGGCCATCAAGCGGGCCATGAAGGTCCAACTGCAGCGCATGGGTTTGTGGCCATACGGCGGTACAGGCAGAGGGGCACGCTTCCAACCACACAAAGTCCCACCACCGCAGCGCGACAGCCCCGACTGGGCAGAACTGCTGAACCGCCACCTCCTGCCACTCACCACCCCAACCAACACCGCCACAGGACCGACCAACGCACAAGCAGCACCACAGCCTGACCCCACAGAGCTGCAGCGAACCCGCAGCACCACACAACGAACCAGCAAGACCACCACAGCGAACACCAACACCCCTCCCCAGACACGCCAGCAAGCAGCTCCACAGACCCCATGCCGCAAGCTACAAGCTCGACCCACAGCCCCCAGCGCAGGGCACCTCTATCACCAACGACCATGGCAGCAGCCGAGGCCCGGGCGAGCCAAACACTACGAGGAACCCACGCCGTTCGGAGGAGCACGAGCTGGCCGCTCTCAGAGCCGACCCCAACCCCCTCCGAACCATCCCGCCGCGATTGGGGCGGAGCACGCGCCCCCCATCTCGGTCGGAACCGTGTTGTCCATCACCAGACCCAACGTGCACATATACCTGGCAGAGGTAATAGCAGCACCAGCACCGGGGCAATATGAGTTCAACGCGGCTATCCTGTGCGAAGGGGACGTTCTTACCTTCGCCTGGCACGACGACTGGATCCTCGATGTCCACCTCAACGAAGCAGCGGGGTGCACCGAAGACCCTCTCCCTGCCAGCAGCGCCCCAGCAACACACGGGGCAGCAGACACCACAGCTACGACGATCGAGCAGCAACCGGAAGCAACACAACCACCACAATCCCAGGAACCAACCGACCACCACATTGACCACCAACCCACAGCAGACGACGGCTCCACAGTCCCAGCGGTACCCAGCAGCGAGCCGAACCAAGCCACCGCTCCACAGCAGACCCAGTCCACAATCACCACCGGGGCCACCCACACTGCAACACAGCCCCAACACCCCCTCTTTGACGGCAGGACCAGCCACCACTGCACCAGCCCCCTCGGTGCCACCCCACCCACCTCAGCCTACCTTGCTTCAGCAAATCCAAGACACCCGACCGTTAGGCAATCCCTGATTCCAGGGCCCGAACTGATGCCACGGCACAAGTCCGTGGCTTCGGGTGGGCTTACCCTCACCAGCTTTTGCAATGCGTGCTTCAGTGAAGAGACGTGGGTCTGCAACATGTCCGCGTATGTCTGGTCTGGCACTGTCGTCTTCTGATGCTCCAGAATTGGGAGAGCTGTGAAATCGTCGCTGTCAGCTGCTCCACCATAGCAGCTTCAGCCACCACCACCACCACCACCACCCCCGCCACCACCACCACCACCACCGCCGCCGCCACCACCACCACCACCACCACCACCACCACCGCCACCAGGAATGCTGGAGCTACGGACAAAAAAGCTAGCTATACTAGAGCAACCCAGTAATGTATAACCGCTTCGCCCGGAGAAACGACCCAACCCGAGGAACATGCATGCGTGATTAGTCGATCAACACGATGCGAACTCATGTTTCAGGATGGTCGGAGCAGCTGGCTAGATCTGGTCTCCTGCTGATGACAGATCCGTGTGGCGAGGCAACAGCCGCACTGGAATGCACTAGCTGAAAACATAAGCTGCAATCAGCTCTTTGATCATTATGTATATCATGTAATCGGTTGCCTCCCCAGATATTAGATCATGATCATTCTATCAAGTTCCATCATAAGCTTAATCTGCTGCGGCATCTCCGGGTTCGGATTGCTGAATCGCCACGGCCAGCTAAAGACCTCGCCTCTCATCAATGTCGAAGTCCTTCCGGAGCATTCGGGTCACGATCTATTATAAATGCTTGAAGCCAACATCACGAATCCGATTCCTCGAACTTGTTTGTAGCCCTAATGCAGCCCAGGATGGGTTGCCGGTCGGTCGCTGTCCACTCCCACCACCATCTGCACATCCTGGGATGTTCCAGTGTTACTAGCTATAGAGGCTAAGGAAACTGGCTTGCCCTGATGTTACCTAAACTTGTAAACCCTAACCTGCTTGATACTCTAGCTTTATTTGTACAGTGCGGCCTCAGGTTTACAGGCTGGACGGCTAAGTCAAATTCGACACATAATTTGCAGTGGCCTACAAATGCAATCAACATAATTATGAGCTTGCAATACATGTAGGATTATAATGATGGCATGTACCGCATGATCGTGTATACCTCTGTGGCCCCAAGGCTAGCAGTATATAGAGCACACATGTAGCAGGTTTGTATCATTCGTATAAGTATCGTACTGCCGGTGTAGTCGGCACCTGCCCGTTGACACTAGTATACTATAGCGAATGAGATACAAGCCAGGGAATCGGTGTTGGAAGATCAGAGATCTCACATGCATTGCATGTATGATGTGATAGGATTATATATATATATATATATATATATAGTCTCCATTGCAGTTCCGAATGTAGCTATAGGTTAACCACGTTTACATTAAATATATCTATATATATATATACACATAGGATCCTAACCATAACTAGCGGGTAACCAGAAAAGGAATTACAATGGAGACTATAATTATAGCGTGTAGCTGTACCACACATGTGCATTGGCCAAGGTTTCCTGCAATTGATGTAAACTAGTTATGACAAAGACAAAACTTTAAAGTAGGCCGTGAGCTGGGGCTGGGGCAAGGCTAGGGTTTACGGAATGTGAGAAGGGCCCGTGATATTGCAATTGGCCAGCCAGGGAAAGAAGCTTATCGAGGCTTTAGGGTTTGATGCATATGTGATTTGAGGCCGGGCAACAAGTAAAGCATTTGTGGGTTTAGTAAGAGAAGGTCTAGAGATATTTGCCGACGAGTGTCGATGTGCACAAAGCCCCCTGGAACATATCAGCCGAGGGCCTGTTGCAAGATCTGATGATGTATGTAATTGTAATCTTGGTCGTGTTATGGTCGAGCACACGAAGTCGGCGTACCCTAGCGGACATTGGCTGCAAAACACTACTGAATTACGACCGTCCTAGGCACTGGGGCTACACAGTCGAGGCTTGCTGGCGGTACAAGCTTCAGATCATGACACTAAGCATTGACAAGTACTAACCCGGGGCCTTCCATCTCCATGGTGTGTCGCACCGCAAAGAGTGCATCTCCGGAGCCTAGGGAGAGGGGATGCAGTCGGGAAACCTGGGTCTGATCAATAGCTACAATGCAACAGCTCGTGTCATACTTGTCGCAGATCTTATCTACATATGATCAAACCGAGGTTATGCAGAGCCGAGCAAAGCCTGTGCCGGGGCGAGCCGTTTGCGATGAGTCTGCGATCTACCCTGCAGCCCACGTATACACCCCTGGCTGCAATATCGTTTGGCTCGCGGGGTGTGGGGCGTTCCGGTCTTGAGTTTAAGTTAAACCTGGTGTGCGGGTTCACATACTCGGGCCGGGTTTAGGGTTTAGGAGATAGTGCGTGCTTGGCTTTACCGGGCCGCTGGATAGCGAGGCTTATGATTATACAGGGTATAGTACATATACAGCGAGGGGGCCAAAACCCCGATATTTACGCAGAAATTGCACGTAAACTCCACGCAGACAGGCAGCGTTAGTCAGCGATATTCGCCGTTACAGTTCCTCGTCTGGAGACAATAGGGCCGTTAGTCGCCGTTATTCGCGTTATTCGGGTAGTACCTGGGTTTTGGAGGTACCCAATATCGGGGCAAGGGGGGTGTATTTTGAGAATTTCGGAGGGATATTTAGGGCTAGGGAGGGGTTTTCGGAGGGTTATTACGGCTAGCACCCACAATATCGTTATTACCATGAGACTTTCGGAGGGTGTTCGTCGAGGGCTTTCATGTTGATGTTGACAATCTGCAATTTGTGTGGCTCCAGTGACATTTTGTCATCTCTGCTATATGTGGCCGTCTTGCAAAGTGTACACTAATTGAATAGAGAATAATACTAAATCTTGTCCATAAGCTAAGGGTTTCTATTCTTACAGAGCTGGAGTCCCTGCCTGGTAGTAGATCATGTCGGCTGCTGCCACATCCAAGACTGAAGCTTGCCTACTATTCTATATATTATTGTTGTTGCTAGTTTCAGCAGTCATATATGTAGAGTGCTTTTAATCACCACGCCCTTGTCTAAGGCACCGAAACGCCTTGTGAGCAATCGTGACCTCGATGTGCACAAAGAAGTGCACACAACCCTGAGCCAAGCCGGCAAAGGAGGACCCCCGTAATTTATTATACCTTTTATGTATATTATGATTATCAATATTATTATATATAATTCTAAGTTTATAATGAGTATACCCATGATATATATATATATATATATATACGTATATACTATACTTATTTATGTCAGCCTACCTATAGCTATGCCAGTACATGTAGGACCCGGGCCTACGCCTACAGTGCCTACCGCAGCAAAGTCAAGCTCCCCGGCAACCGCACCCAGCTTGAGACGTCTCCGGGGCAAAAGTGTACTTCGTTCAAATACCAGCACCAGTGAATCGAGCGGCGGGAGGCTCTCCGGAGCTTCCATGGAGTCGTCGTCGCCTGCGAAAGGCACGGCATGCAGTGCTAAATCAACACCGATGAGATCCCCGGAACTCAAGAAAGTCAAGGTCAAAGCTGAAACCCCAGCTACGCCGAAGTCCCTTTCCGTGAAGTTCGCACAGGTGCTTCGCTAGCAATTTAATAATGTGACCCTAAATCCTAAATCTCCCAAACCCTAACCCCTAACCCCTAAACCCTGAAACCTAATGGTAGCCGTTCCCTGAGCTGTACAGCTCAGCTGTGTTACCCAAGGCAGATGCGACACCTGCGAGATCGTCGATTCCGGAGGCGGTGACTGCAGAACCTGTTGTACCTGCTGTAGAATCTTCGATGACTCCAGATGCTGATGTCCCTGCTCTTGAAGATGCTTCTGTTGCCCCCGCTCAAGAATCCTCGTTGCCGACGACTACAGATGCAGCTATTGTCCCTGGTCAAGAATCCTCGTCTATGGCTACAGATGCTATTGTCCCGGGTCAAGAATCCTCGTCCATGGCTACAGATGCTATTGTCCCTGATCAAGAATCCTCGTTGCCAACGGCTACAGATGCTATTGTCCCAAGTCAAGAATCCTCGGGTGTCCCTGGGCCTGGATCCTCGTTGCTGCTGGTGGCCACAGATCCTGCAGGCTACTTGGGATATCTGACTCCGGCATAGGGGGGTCTGTTTAAAATTTATGGAATTTAATCCTAGACAAGATAAGCCTTAATTTCGAACTGTGGTACTTCTATATACTACACATACTACACACTGAAGCAGCTAGTGGATTCCTAGTTGAGGTGCTTCCCTACGCTCGATGGACTCGCGATCCACAATGGCTTTCGATGCTGCACTTGCTGTAGATCGTGAGAGCCAGCTTGACAATGAAGACACACAGATGGATTTTTGGGGGGGTCAGGGATTCTGCTCGAGTCCTGATATTTGGCGATCCAGGCCTGCTGCCGCCTTGCCGGTTGCGAGACCTTCCAACGGGGTTCACGCTCCAGTGGATTGAGCAACTCAAGAAAGTCATGCCGGGCCCTGATCAACCTGACGACCTCGCCGAACTCAAGAGCTTTTACACGGCTGGCAATGACGGGGATGCTTCCGGTTTCGACTCAGCTTTGAAGGATATGATCTCGTCCTATCATCATGCCTTGAATGTGACACATGATGTTACATTTTATGAGACTGGGTTGCTGAAAGCCTATTTGGATAAGAAGACGAAGGGAGAGACTTTGCAGCAGCATCTTCAGCTCATGTGCGACCAGGGCAAGATCACGAAGGAGCTATGTGCTAGCAAGCAGACAGCTGTGAGTGAGCAGCTGTTGGCAGCCGTGTGTCAAATCCAGGAGAAGATGAAGGGCAGGGCCCAAGAGCAAGATGATGCACAGCTGAAAAGCGCCGATGCAATATTGTTCTTCCACCAGGTAGTGAACTTCGAGGGAAGCAAAGGGCCCGACCAGGATGCTGCACCCAACGGCGAGGGCGACACTCGAAACAACGTGCAGGATCAAATCGACTTGGATTTGGCAACTTTGGAGGAGGAGTTTGATTCCTTCCTAATGCCTGATCACCCTAGCCCTCCGACTGCTGTGCCTTGCAAGGCCCTCTGAACACATGCATGGTGTGACTATCTCTCGTTGCATTCCCACCTATGGTACAGTGTCTTGCATAATTGTCTGTTCAGGTGGAAACTGCTACGAATATTGTGCCTCGGCCCAATATCTTGGATGAGCCTCTCTTCGGTCCGGTGGTCATCGATGATGATTCCGAGGATGACCGAATGAAGTGCCAGGAGACCAGAACCCAGGAGACCCCAACCGAGGAGACCCCAGCCGAGAATCCTCAACCGCACCCGAAGCCCCTCGCCTCTGCTATCCAGACTGCTTTGCATCGCAAGCCAACGGTGGAATTTGAGGTGACTTGTCGAATATTCAAATATTCTAGTCTCTTCCCTGTGTGAGATCTAGATTCTAGACAATAATAGCAATTAAACTTTCCAATATGCTATTACACTCCGAGGCCAGAGCCTTGCAGGACCGGGGCGAAACGGAGGAAGAACGCGAGAAGAGGCTCGCCCACAACCTTTACATGCGGTTCTATCGCTCAGTCCGCAGTCGCTCGACTTCCATGTTATAAATGATACCCTCAGGTACGTAGAAACCCGTAATATTAGTCACCCCAATTAGATCCAATACTATGGGCCGGGCCCTGTGGCATCTGTAACATCCTACTGTTAAGGTGAGAGCTGCCCCCCGGAGATCAGCAAGATGGCATTGCAGAACAAGCGGAGTGCCTAGCAGTTATTAAAAAGGTGTTGGGTTTCGGGATGTAGCTTCTTCTGGGGTACGGGCTGAGATCTAGAGGTATAGAGCTTAGTGACTTAGTCTTATGGGTATGCTGATTGTTATCCGATCCACGATCGAGAGCTCATTAGGGTGTATGCTGATTGCTATTGTAGTTTGAGAGCTAACTAAGTATAGCACTAGTGTGTGCTGATTGCAGATAGCACGGTGCTCTCCGGCCTCTTTGATGAGTATCTAAAGTCAGACGGGATCTGGCTAACAAGCAGCTTGGTGACTCGTTTGAGACGTACCTCTGCAGTTGAAGCTTTGGGGGAGGAGGCCATGGTCCCCTTCAAGCAGTTGAAGGAGGAACATGGCTTGCAAGTGGCAAAGCAAATGCGGCACCAGAAGAGGCAGCTGCAGGCAAAAGCCAAGCCGACAGACCCGCCTTTCTGCATGGACCATCCCGACATGCCAGGTGACGAAGAGCTCTTGTACGGATGATCAAACATTGTTGTTTGCCTTACTGCAAATATGATGATGGAACGGCTACTATCCAAAGAGCTAGCCCTGGGAGCTTAACCCACTAAAACCCACTAGGAGCTTTCGTGAGTAGCTGCTAAATAGTGGTCAAGGACTGGGAGCTTATCAGAGTTTGGCGGGCGACCACTTTCAAGAAGAAGACTTGCGAGGAAAACCAGCAGGAACTGGAGGCTTCTGTTGAGCTCGATGCCAACCAAACGAAGGATATGATGTCACAGGGCTGACATTATATTATAAATAGTATTTTGACAGGATGGGTAGGTAAAGGGCTTCTGAAAGATTAAATCTTTCAATGGTTAACATATATGTAGTGTACCAACCAATATGGGATGATGTGCCCAATTGTGGTGACTTCCGTAGCAGGTTTACAGCCGAACCTTTCTTGTATATTCCGAATGCTGTTATGAGGCAACACCCAAGCCCTAAGATTGATATAGCAGGCCTTCTGGGACATAGTGCCTTTATTAATATGAAACCCGAAACCCTAAGCTCTAACAGTAACAATTATCTAGCCACACGGTAATATTAAACTAAGGTCAGCATTCCTTGCTGGCCCGGATGCTGCCGGTGGAGGAGGCTTCAAGGTCTTGCCCGCTCCCCGTGATGCGACCGAGCCGCTGCCGAGCAACAAAAACGACCCCAAGCCTCGCACAAAGGCTGCTGTCGGACGCAGCAAGCTCAAGGAGATCGAGAACAAGGAGGGTGAGTGTAAGACGCTCCTTTCAGATGTGGAAACCTCCACACTCTTGCTGCTAGGCAGTAATATATTTCGTAAGGTAGGACTATACTAGCTGATCTTGTACAATAAATGTGCCCGTGTGAGTATGCCTAGCATCAATAGATCAGGTCGACGCATCTCCGTGATGGGTATGTCAATGAGCTACGGGCACACTTGACGAAGCTGACTGAAATGCAGAAGGCCCTCTCGGACGCCATTGATGCCAATGATGACTCCCAGATCAGCCAACAGGTTCAGGATGCTTCGAAGGCGATTTCAAACATGACGAAAGGTGCTTTCAAGACGATTAAGCCGCAGCTAGTTGCTTGTCGTTAGGTTTTGGGTTTGGGATTGTTAGGGTTGCATGAGCCGGCTGTGGGGTTTAGGGTTTGGGGGTCAGGGTAACAAAGAAACGCTTATTCCATCCCAGACCCTGATTGCAAGCTTCGTTTTTTTATGTTATTAGTTCCGTCTGCTAATCCTATGTGTGTGTATCTGTACTATGTAAATCGCTATGCACTCCACTGAAAACCCCGCCCACACCGACACCCCTCAAAACCCTAATCTATGCTAGTTGCCCCGGCCCCATAAACCCTAATCCTGCTAAGCTTCCCCGGACTTTTGTAAAGTGCAGCTATATGGCTATAGCACCCCGCACCCACGCAGTCCTAGCTAGATCGGCTCTTCGAAATTTAAAGGGGCCAGTCCCCAAAGCCATCCACAACCCTTATCCCAGCCCCCAAGCCACATCCAAGGTTGAGAAACCCGCCAAGCAGAACAAAGGCTCAGGTGCCGCGAAGAGCAAGACGACGAAGCGGAAGGGCAAGTGATGCCCGCTGCCATGCTCCTCACGAGAGCTTTTGATGGCTTCTAGATTTTGACCAGGGGTTGCTGGTGGGGTTAGAGGTGCTGCAGTGCTCATATAAATAAAACTATGGCTAATTTGTTTTAAATTTATATAATTAGTAACTAGGAGAGTTGCATTGGTGTGTACACCTCCGAACTATGCTAGCAGTACTGGCTGCACTATCCCCGCTGCAACGGTCTTGTTCCTAGTGTGTGTGCGAGGTCATGCACACTGTCCGGTGATCCACATGTGATATCACGTGTGCCTAGATGAACACGTGCGGTTGCGACTGCATGTGCCGACTTCATTCGATACCGTGCTCTGAGATCTCGCTCGGATGATCAGTGGTGCTGTGGGCAGTGCCATAAAACAACTCGTTCAGTGATCGTCGTTATGTGGCTTCAGCCAAACTTTTACGCAAGTGTGATCCAATTCCGAATCCCGAAATCCCCTTCGCAGGTGAGCCTCAGCGACCTGGTCCTATGGTGAACTTTTTGCTTCAAGAAGCTGGTCGTGGTGACTCTCGCTTGCAAAATATCTTTGCCGGTGATTGCTTCGGTGAGTGTATAATTATTTACATGCCACAAAGTCGCCCAGGACATGAGCTACACCAAAGTCCGAAGGGTGGCACAGGTGATGAAGAAGGAATTTCCAGGGGTCCTTGTGCTGATCTTCACGGTAGTAGCAGTCGATATTGCCGAACCTGTCCAGGAGCTGAAAGCCACGTATGGCATTCAAGAGATGCAAGGGGGAGCCCAGGTTGTCCAAAGGATCCGGCATGCAAAAAACACCCAACGTGACTTGCTTCGCAGATACCCCTCCTCGGTACCTAACCTGCATTTAGACTTAAGTGTTTTGCATGCCGCTGTTTACCGAACGAACATGATTGCACAAACCAGGTTCCAATCCGCTACATTGATGTGCCACTACGCAAATCGATGCGGGACGACCGAGTGGTTATCAAGACAGCTATGCAGCATATAGTTCGAAGCTGACGTTTTTGGGATTTATAATAATACCATTATGAAATGCTTGCTCAGGAAGATGCCGATAGTGTTCCCGCACGAGGTGGTTCCCGAACTAGCACGATTGGGAATGCTGCCAGAAGTGGATGTTGCTGGATTCTGGCAACACGCAGAATCCACTGGGGTGGAGTGGGCAAAACCAGGCTCGACTGATGCTTTGCGGAGACCCTTAGGTCTCTACGGAGACGATGCCCAGTATGATAAGAACCAAAACAAACTCATCATCGTGACCCTCAACGACGTGCTGAACCCGGCATCGCACTCGATGCAATCTGCCTTCCCGCTTTTCGTTCTGAGAGAAGCTGCTTGCCCTAAAATGATTGTTATATAATCCTCTTATGAACGACCAATTATAATCTACACCTACAGGTTACTAGAATCCTCTAAATAACCTAATGTAGCTACGCTACTCCCTCTTTAAATATAACCCCCGAAGAAACACTTAAACGCCCTTCGGATCCTAGACCCCGAATACGAGCGACTTCCTGCCACTTCCCAGTACTGACATCGAGGCTTTGAGCACTGGCTTCGATACCCTCCAGGCCTACCTGAAACCCGTGGCTTGTCCAATAAGTACTATATCCAATGATCTTATAGCAAAATAGGATTGCAAGGCTATATAATTATATAGCCTTGCAATCCTATTTTGCTAGTTCCAGTTGATTCTAATAATGACTCCAGAAAGCTAAGATTGCAATCTCCTTCAACATCCTCTTCCACGGCAAGTGCCCGGGAACCCCGCTACATCTGCTGACGAATTACAACGAGGAGGTGTGGCACAACGAGGTTCTGCCGAACCTTACTGAGGACCCTTTGGCCTCCGTCAACAGCATGCCGCTCCGAGCCAGCCTGGCTGAGATTCGCGGGGATTGGAAGTTTATCAAGGCACGGTGGGTTGGGGAACAGCGGTTAGCCTTAAGATTTGGTCAGCCAGGCTAGGTTTCCGAAGTAGGTGGGTATCAGCTAGCGGTATGATAGTCAACATATAGCATCCAGGCCATGTTCAACATGAACGTGGGGTGGCAATGCCGCTTCCTTTGCTTCCATTGTCATGTGACCAACAAGAATTATTTGCAATTCCCGGCGAACCTGCAAGCCGCTTCGGAACGTGACCCTGAAAGCTTTCTGTCGTGCCTCAAAGCTGATGGAGATGGCAAGAAGTGTGCAATCCTCAGGTCCACATCCGAGAGAGCGAACTCCCGACATGTGTAGCATGACTCCGGTGTTGTGTTTCGGGCTAAGGTGCCATTACGTGGATCGAAGGATTCCACCATCAGTTGATCAGATGGTGCAGCTTACATTGTTGCAATCTTGGATACATGGGTTGGGTTGGTGCATCTACAATGGAATTCCTTTTGGACCAGGACCCAATATTTGCAACGCAGTCGGTTCCTCATGATATTTAGGATCCTGGTGTTCAACAGGAGGACGTCCCACTATGGGGTGGCCACGACGAGGGATTGCCGCAGAGGCTGCAGAGGGCCTACCAGGAGTTCCTTTCCTGGGCAAGGGCTCGGGGCATCCAGCTGCCTAGCTCATGAAACACATGATCCGGTGACACCTTAACCCTAAACCCTATAAAGCCCTAAACCTTAAAGAAATCCCACAAATCGAGGCACTCCCAACCTCCATTCAAGACGAATTTCTTTCGTGGGGGAGCCGAAGACTACCACGCCATGGCTGCCAAGGGCTACAACGTGCCCGGGTATGCAATGTATATGTGTGTTTGGGTGTACGCATGTGTGTAGCTGGTGATCATGAGTGATTTAGCCCTGACTATATATGTATGTATATTTAAAATTAATGTAATATATGTATATACTTAAGCTTGAATACAAATGACGGCGAGTCTGATGACACCATTGCTACAGGGCACATGTGTTTTAAGGCTCGATGCTTGATCGCCTGGATGTCCGATGTATGCCAGCAAATGTTAACTGCTGTGCCTCACGACCGAATCTTTCGATTGGTGGCCTCATGCACGTGCCTTGTCTGCTTATCGACATAGCTCGGACCCCATATCTGAAACCTGATCTCTGCATGCAGGTACCACCTTGCTGAGATGATGAATGTTGTCGAATCGAGCCCTCGTTGCTTGGACATCAACACAGCGACCCGGATCCGGCAACTCGTGGCCGCTATTTCGCATTGTCCCCTGAACCCTAAACCGACGGCCAAATCCTGAAGCAATCTCCCTCATAGTGTTTTCAACTCACATCGCTTGTCGAAGCCGATTGCAAAAACCCACTACCAGTCGTCCTTATTATGGATACCGGGAAGTGTTGTAGAACTGGGTAAGGGGAAACTCGTTAAACCCTAAAAACACCTTAAACCCAATAAATTAGTAAACAAGCCCCAGGATCGCTCCACCAAGAGCTATGCATTGCTTGCAATGGATGCTTTGCAAAAGGGCAAGCTCAACTGGCCCTTGAAGCCGAAGCTTCACGTGCCCCGGTTGGTTCAATTCTATCCAATGCAACTGCAATATTTGTGACGGGATCGCATATTAATAGTGCATTTTCTAGTGCAGCACGCTGCCGAGGGGATGCAGGAGCTGGCACGGTGGTGCTGCAAAGACCGTGGGTTGCACAGTTGTTCGTTCATGCTTTCCCTCCAGGTGTAGCACGCATGTATCACTGCAATTCCGTGAGTTACCGTGTGATCTCCAAGGGATTAACTTCCGGTATTATCACACGTTCAAAGATGAAGACCTCAACGGTCGCATCGTTCGAAACTTGCCGGCAATTCTGCGACTCTGCGATAGGACGAGTGTGATGCCGCAATCTGCAACATCGTATCGCTGTATGATTGAAACCCAGGTGTTGCAAAGGCTGTCAGTGTTCAGCAGATGGAGTCGGGTGTGCTTCGCCGCTACTACTCCTGGCGGCTAGCTTGCAATTGTACATTGTGGGTTCATATAAGACACATGGATGGAAAGAGCATCATTCCACACCCAAGATTGGAATACCAATCCCAGAACGGTTTCGATTCGGATGACGCGGATGCCTAAAGCACAGGTGTGATTCATGTGATCGCGAACTAATTAATTTAATTTGGTGGCTCATGTTTGCCTGGAGCCTGCACCCAGCAGTCGAGATCTCTGCTCATGCGGACGAAAACATCTGAAGTTTTGCGATCGAGCCAGTCATTAGCGGCCAAACCATCGACAGCGATATTGTGCGTTATTGTCCAGATAAGGAATTAGGCCCCCTACTTCCCGCCATTAAGTATTCAGGGGCAAAAGCCTTACCCATGAAACACTTAGGAGGGACAGGGAATGAATGCTGTATCACGTAAACACAGTTTAAAACATGTGTATGTATATAAAGTATATATACATATACACATAGACATACACAACACATACGTAGACGTATACATAGGCATGCGCATGTATTTGCAGTTACGAATGTATACTCACAAACATGCATGACTACGCACATACACACATACACACGCAAATAGACATGTGTATATATATATATATGTGTAGACATATATATATATATATGTTCAGAATACAAATCGCAGGAGTCTGGAATTCGTCAAGGGTGCCCCCTCTCACCATTTCTATTTACGTTACTAATGTCTGCAATGTTCAAGGATATTAAAGCCAAGCTAAACACTCCAAAGCAGAGAGAGCCCTTACCTGGAATAGAATTTCGCAGAAATTTTATACGCAGACGACACGCTACTTTTTGGAACCCATACCCATACAATAAACAAGCTGCTACACGCAATTCAAGTTGAATCCAGGTACTATAACATGAGCTTGAATTACGACAAATGCATTAACCTTACCCTGAATCAAGGAACATCCAGTGTTAAATATATGAATGGGTCACTTGTTCCGCGCAAACATGAAGCCACATACTTAGGCTTAATACTGACAGACACGGTGGATAATCACCGAGAGGTTTGTAATCGCATTGCAGATGCCACTGTCACATGCAATAGACTAAAACTTTTTTGGAACAAGGCTCAAAACACAGTGAAATGGAAGCTAAGGGTGTTCGATTCAATTTTGAAAAGCAAGGTACTCTATGGGCTTGAATGCATACAGCTGACACAACCTGACTTAAACAAATTGAATGCTTTTCAGATGAAAGGACTTCGCCGAATCCTAAAGATCCCTCCCACTTTTATTGACCGTACTTTCACGAATCAGAAAGTTTTAGATATCCTGCGAACTGAACACCGCCATCCGACTGAAAAGTTTTCCCTAACATGGATGACAAGAAAGGTAAAACTGCTGGGACACATATTGAGGACTGATTCGAAAGACCCTATGAAACAGGTCATGTTAGATCCATATACAAACAGGCCTAGACTTGAATATAGACGTCCTGGTAAACCAAGAGCATCATGGCTACTGGAGACATTTAAAGATGCATTTGCTTTGCTAGAAAGATCCGAAAGCTATGATGATGCGAACAATGAGCATCGGCAATACGTAATACAGCAAGCACAGACAAGACAGGGAATATTTGCTACAAAGCCACAACATAATTAAGTTAAAGCCATTAGCAACATACCAACACCGGAAAACTTTGTCACCATACATCACCGAATTTTCTTCACCGAATGTTCTTCACCGAATGCGCGGAGCAGCACCGCGACCTTCAGGCAAGCTGTCCAGCTGCACTTATCAGTTTCTCGGAAATATATAAGACTTCCTACAGGCACACAATACAAGCTTCATGATATTCCCCTCATACGTCTCTTTATGTCACAGGCAGATTAATTGTTTAAGTGTAGGCTGTACTCTGTATGTTTCACTTTTTCGATGCTAAGATACATGATTCTATGTCTTGTTCCCACTTCATTGGCTAGGCTTCTGTGCTCAGACTTTCTCGTCTGCACGTAGGAAAAAGACATATATATATACATATATATATATATGTGTATATACATACATATATATATATATATATATATATTTGTATATATATATATATATGTGTATATCACGCCCCCCCCCCCCCATGATCCACCCGAACCTGCTTCTTGCAAACAGTGGATCATGGGAGGTGGGCAACCTCAGATGCGAAACCATCGCCAGGCTCCAATCTCCCCAAAGTTTGCAAAGCTGGAAGTGCGAAAACATCGCCAGGCTCCACTTGCCCCAAATTGCCAAACTCTGAGCAACTACAGCCCCGCGCGCCTCATGGATGCCAGGATTTTTGGGATTTGGGGGAAATTGGAGCCTGGCGATGTTTTGGCACTTCCAGCTTCACAAACTTTGGGGAAATTCGAGCCTGGCGATGTTTTGGCAACATGCAATGCGAAAACACCGCCAGGTTAGATTCTCCAAGATGCAACAGTCATAGAAGAACAGCCATACTATGCACTCAGACATGAGCCTTCAATTGCTTCAGTTCCCAACTGTGCTCTTGCTTGTTTGATCGAACAAAGTCATAGCTGTTGTTAGGATCACCTGTGCTCATTAAAAGAAATAATAGAAGAACAGCTATACTTTATAATATTGAAACCTGCCTGTGTTTGTATTGTGGATGCTTTGGAACGTTTTCTGCGAATGCACATGTTCGCTGAACTGTACATCATGTGTAGATACTGTCGAGTTCTTGTTTCTGCATCGCAGTAAGATCTTGCTAACCGTTTAATCTCTGGCCCCTTGCTTGAACAAAGAAGAAGTATTTCTTGTATTTCATATTACCTCACAAACTACAGAAGCTGATAAGCTCCGATATTTCATATCATTACATATGAAGTGGGTTCCCCTATAGTACTGTCCTGCCTTATTCCTTTGGGGTTCCCTTTATTCAAAATGAATACCAGGAAAAAAGGTACCATTCAGGCGACACTGGGGAACCTGGTACAAGGGGTGGGTTTATCATGCATCGCGAGGCGTTTTTACGTATCGCACAGCGTCTACTTGCGGAAACCAGGATTCAAGCCAGTCTGTATCCTTTAAAGCATCTGGTAAACTAGCTGTTCGACGAGCGTCTAGTTGGCGGATACCAAGCATTGCCGTGAAAGCGGCCAAGAGCTTCAGTTCCAACTTCCTTGATCGGGTGCTTGCGAGATCGACCGTCTACATGGGGAATGCCTAGTTTTGATTTGCTGCCACTGATGTGTTTCTTGAGCGGGTGCTTGCGACATCGAGCTTCCACATGGGGAATGGCTGGTTCTGCCATGCTAGTGGTGCGGAATAGCGGGAGGAGGGTTTGCTGGTTTCATGAGAAACTTTTTTGTATCAGCTGTTGCTGTTGAACATGAGTCTCGGTCACATCGTTTGGTCGGGAATCAACAACTCTGCCCTCGGCGCACCCATGCAATGCTTGCATCGTGAAACAGTGTCCACACTGGGGTTTACACATACTGAATCGGGAAGAAAATGTATTGTAGATGGCTTGAAAACTGCTTGAGAAACCCCGAGTCCGCGACATCTCCTGACAAGTGAGTTGATGCAACTCGGAGACTGCAAAAAGCCTACACAAAGGGGCTTGAAAACAGCGTCTGCTGTTTGTAACGGCAGTGCATATACACGAAAACGACTCATAGTTGCGCTCAAGACCCGGCGTCGGCCACATATGCGAGGATTCTGCAAGTTCTTCACTGCTGCTGCAAACACGGCGTTTACATCGGGATTCGTATTCACTGATGCATATTTTCGCTGTTGATGTATGTTTGCTCTGACGCAGCGTCTACATGTGGTAATGCATATTCCCACCGGGTGATGTAAGATAAACCCACCGCCTAGTACATGAGCTTTCAATTGCTTGATTATTGGCGGTGCTAACTCTTCTCTCGTGGAGCAAAATCAAAACCGAGTCAGGGTCAACCTTGCTCAAGAGGTACAGTAAGTCAGGGGTTTTATTGCCTTCCTTAAAGCATAATGAGAAAAGATGTGTTTCCACCATTTCTCGGAGGCTATGAGGAGAGGTCTGGTGCTGTTTCATGTTGTAATCCAAGATGGCAGGAGCTATATCACTCTTGCGAGTAGCGCGCTGCAACGGAGCACGACTATGTTTCTGAGCTACTTGTAGGATCGTCTTGCATCTTTTAATAAGAAAAAGCAGCAATTGTGTTCAGAAGAATAACGAATGTTTTCCAGATACATGTTTGTCCTGATCTCGTTGAGTTCCAGCCACTGAGTTCCAGCGCCTGATAAGGGATTAAAGCGGCTTATTGTGTTTCTTTGTGCTGAAACAAGAGTTCTAACAACAACACCACCTGAACAAGAACAACCATGCTTCTCTTGTCTGTTGAAATTTTGAAGATATGAAGTTGTCCTAGGTTCCTTTGAAGCATGAAGATTCATGGAGGTTCCTTTCCATGTCTGATGGGCAACACCTCTGTTTAGTGTGGTTACAGTGTTGCTTGTAGGCCAAACACACTGGCATGTTTGCTTTCACTGAAGGAGATGTCCTTACCCATTATGTTATGAAGAGAAGAGCAGCTGCGTCTATTCAAACTGTACATCTTAAGTAGTTCGACCATCTCCAAAATCCAGAACCGGAATCTGGTGTAGACAGGTACAAGAAGTGCAGAACACACCGTAAATGCCGATAGATTCGGACTCTAGGACTAAGCATCTTGCGCAGAAGTATTGACAAGAAGGCTGGGGTGGATCAGGGGGGGGGAGTGTGACCATCCATATATATATATATATATATATATATATATATATTTATTTATTTATTTATTTATTCATTTATTGGTATTTATGTATGTATTCATGTATTTATATATATATATATATATATATGTGTGTGTGTGTGTATGTCATACATTAATATACATGTACATATACAGTCATAGACACACATATTTACATCTCCTTTTAACTCTACGTATAAGTTTTGCCGGAGGTATATTCGCATTCATGATCATGCTCGTCAACCCGAAGCAGAGCCACCCCCTGGACTACACCGCACCACAGGGAGGGGGGAAGCAACCCACCACACCACACCACGCCACACCACACATATACATGCACAGACACGCACATAAGATGTATATGTTTGTATAGTTAGACAGATAGATACAAAGCAGGTAGACATATAGTCATCATACACGTGTAAACACGTAGTATGAATGTGTGCATGAGCTGGCGACATGCTTTGCAGTTTCAGTATGCACCTAGGATTGACACTGGGCCCGTCCGTCTGCGAAACGACACCCCTCATCCTTGACAACTGAATCTAAAACTGGTAAGACTACTAAAAGCCGGAAGCCTTAATGCTACACCTCTGCACTTTGAAGCGAGCCTACTCCCTACACTGCAGACTCCAAAACCCTAAGGCTTCTAACCTCCGATCCCTTCAGCAAGAGATAGGGGGTTCAGGAGTTTTGCCGGGTACAGCTCCCGAAAGCAGGAGTCCCGCCGCGCTGCAGTTGCCAACGAGGCGATCCTCGCAGACTCGCCGCTGAGGGATGCCACAGGCTGCCGAACTTCCCCGAATGCTGAGCCTAAGGTTTTAAGACTTATGGAGGGGCAGCAAGCTTCGCGGTGTGGTTGCCCTTCTGATCCGTTTCGTAGCTTGTACAATCTAAAAGCCTTCCCGAGGTATGGAAGATATCTAGTCTTTCGAGTTGGGCATTGAAGCTGAGACCCTGGTCCTGCTTTTCTGATCTTGCAAGACATTCGGTATCCAACCCGGTGTGAAGGCTCCTAATGTGAAGCCCTCTCTTACCTGCAACGCTTGAATTAACCTTGATCGAAATTTCGAAACCCCAGCTGAATCCTGAAAGCTTGCGAAGGGATCATGGACAAGATTGGCCGCTACCTGAAACCGGCCTCCACAACACTGGGCTTCGTGCCTCACACGACGACGCAGGGCTCCTTCGGCTGTATCTACTGTATGTCAGAGCATCAGTAGGATGATCGATGTGAACCCGGACCAAAGCCAAAGTTGAAATGCATACTAAAGGTGCCAACAAGCAGCACGAGTTTTTGTGTGGGTGCAGATGGCGTAAAGAGGTCTTGAAGCTCTACGGGTTGATTCGACCGAGTCTTCAGGGGTCCCCACGGAGTCCGGAGAGTTCGGAGCCATGCTTTGATAGACCGCCTGCGGAGAAGTTCAGAAATCCTGACCCCTCGCCTCCAGAAGCCCACTCAAATCTAACTCCATGGACTTAAACCCGATGTTGTGGTACTGCGACCCATGGGTTGTGGGTTCACTGTAGACCACTACCTGTACCCTCGAAGCTAGCGTATACTTATTTGCCAACATGTAATAAAGTCTGCAGGAAATGCTTCACATGTAGGGTCCAAGTATGCAAGCCCATGTGAGTTGGATGAATAGTTGGATGGATAGCTTAATGAAGTGTCCAGAGGAGTCCAGAGTGAGAGAGCCTTGGACACGCGAGGCCCTAAACCGTAGCTCAGGCACAGGGCGGTGCCCATGAGAGTCTTATGCTGGAAGATCCGTGGGGAATCCGACTTCGCTCGACACTAGACCCTAAGTATCCAAACAGTCCGAAACCTTAACCTAATACGCTGAATGGCTGGGGCTTGACTCCCAAGAGCCCAGGGCCACTTCAGTTCAAACCACAAGACAAGCTGAGAAGCAAGAGCACAAGAAGCGTCCTACTGCAAGAAAGCTCGCCCGAAGGCCCTAAACCCTGAAGCCCCAAAGCGCAAACGGAACTCAGGCCCAAACGCCTCCAAACTGGAAGCGCCCATGAAGGCGAAGCCAGGCAAGACTCAAGAGGGGTCTCCATCGTTGAAGGTTCAGGAAGTTTGGAATCACCCCAAGCCGTGATGCCTGTGAATGTCGGCTTGGGGCTTTGGGGCCGGAGGTTTAGGGGTTCGGGATGACGGAGTGAACCCTGACTCTAAACTCTGTTCAGGAGTGAGGGCTGAGGGTCTTCAGGCTTTAGATGCCAAGGCCCAGGGCATGGGCCAATTTCCTGTGCTCATGGACAGTAGCAGGTGAGTGCCTGGACAACTGCAACGGCACCCTGTCTGCAAAAACTCTGTGCGATCGTCTCAAGCGTGGACGGCGTGTACCCCTGAGCATTCCCTATCCTCATCTTAGATGGTGTTATGGATTTGGGGTGCTTTCAGTGTTTGGGGCAGATGTTGAAGTCCAGGGCTTCAGGGTTTAGGGCCTCGAGTTTAGTCAGTCCGGTCTCGCATTAGACTTGAACGTCTCTGACCCCCCGAAGACCCAGCTGCAGCCCAGCAACCTGAAACCCGTCCTCGACAAACCCGATGCCCCATTCCTAAAGGAAGAACATTTCACGCCCAACAACAGCTCTTAAGCTTTAACCATCGACCTCCTCAAGCCCGGCATCACCCTAGTCTTCCAGTCTTCGCCTGACCCCAAAAGCTCAACCACATTAGAGGGTCGGTCCAGGTGTTTTCAGGTTCAAGCTAGACTAGTCATCACAAGACGGGATCGCACTAGGGTTCTCATACTCTAGTCTTGCGGGGGAAAGAAAACCATGTGGTACGTAGTGCCACGGCACAATGCTGTGCCCTCTGCTACGTGCTACTGCTGCAGCCGAAATCCTGGAAATCCGAAGCATTGCGGCCAAGGTCGAAACTCTCGAAACCGCATGACGATCGTCGTCGGCTCCAATGAAGATAGGCACCCCAAGATAAATCCCAGACCGACAAACTGCCGTGCACTGCGAATCCCAATCCGAGGGCACAGGCCTTGCCAAGCCGAAACGATAGACCCTAAACTCCAAATCCCGATGCCCCAAGCTTGAAACCCCAAATACCAAATCCTATACCTTAAAAGTTACCAAATCCTAAGCTCCTTAAGGACACGGCAGCTGTGCCAATGGAGTCTGCAGTTGCGGTGCCGGTTGGACAGGAGAGGCGTGGCGCGGGCGGTGTCGAGGGCCCCATCGACGCTTAGAGGATTCGGGTTTTGCCATCATACAGGCTTGTATGGGAGCATGATTTCGGCATGATTTAGGCTACAAGCTCTGTTCAGTGCATAGGCTTCATGGAGCCTCAGAAACAAACTACCGCACATGAATTACCGTGCACCTGGACGGCGGATCGTGGTCGTCAGGTCCTCTTCAGACTTTAGACTTCAAGCTGAAACGGTTGTTTTTAGGCGGTGCCCATTCCTGAGCAAGTTGGACTTTGGACAGTACGTGCAGCGAAACATTCTGAAGTTGCTCGAAAACAAGAGACACCCGTCTCGGCCACGAAGATCGGAGTCATTAGATCCTGATTGGAGGGTTCACGCAGGCATTTCCTTCGGTTGGAATGCGATCCTTCAGACCTTCGACCGTCAACTGCAACTTCTCCACGAGAAAAGTCTGCATAGTAAACGGACACGACATTGAAGCCGCTGAAGGGGTTCAGTGTCTTACATACGGATTTTCGAAGCCATCCGCCGCTCTGTCACCCTAAAGCCTCTGGGCTTGCATTTTCAAGTCGCGTGGCTTATAGCACCGGCATGACTGCCGGGAAAACATTAAAACCGAAAACCCGGAGTTGAACCTGGATCTCCCTTTGGAATCTCCAAGCCCCCTCATGGGGTTCATGAGCTCTTGAAGGAAAGCGCCACACCAACCCCTCGCAGAGTCAGAGCTGTGTCCATCGGGTCGTACAGTAGTCTCGACTTCAGGGTCTTGCTGTTGCAGCCTCTGGCGGCTCTAGCGTTCAGTGCGAGGATTCAAGGTTGAGGGCTCAGACTTCACTCGCGCTCACAAGGCCTGCGACATCGATGCTCGGCACGCATTACCCGAAATTAAAAGGGCCTTCGACCGTCGCCTTCACTTTTTAGGCGATAGTCTGACAGAAGCCTTGCATAGCCAACACTTGTGAAACAGTCTTCAATTACACCAATCCATTCATCACGGAATCACAGACAGAAACTACGTATGTCGCCTCATGCACACAACCCCAACCTTCAAGCTTCAGACCCTGGCAAGTACGGCCCGAGATTGGAGGAGGTCTTTCGTTCGAGCCTCTCAGGTTTGGGGCTTGGCTTAACAAAAGAATATGACTTCGGGGTATACCATAGTGCGAACTTGTTTTGGAACCCCCAGGACTAGAATTGGTAATCGCATCCTCTGGAGGGTGTAGGCGGCTTTACGAGTCGACGGTTTTGGTTTGAAGTTAAAGCTCCAGGGACAGGCTTCAGGCTCCAAGAGCCAGGGCATCTTGTCGTAGCAGTGATTGCAAAGCAAGGGTTCTGAGGTCGGATGTTGAGGCTTTCTGATGAGACCTTTTTCACGGGATTCACGCAGCTAGGACGTAAGGCTTGGAGGACTTATGTTGCTCTGGTCTATGCGTTTGTGTAACCTGTCGGAGCTGTTCGCCGAGGTAACCTGCCCGAGCAACTGCAACTCTCGAGGCTCCTGCATAGGCCAGCACACAATTGGGTTGTAGAAGCGTGGGACTTGGGCTTCTCCAAGGCTGCTTTCCGACTCAGGGTTCACGCGTTTGGGCCAAGAGGTGCTTTGTGTTTTTGGATCTGTGAAGATACATACCTGACAGAGCTACGTCAGGGCAGAAACGAACCGAGCTGCAAAAGGTAGTATAGGGGAGGGGATTACTTTGGGCAAAAACTTTCGCAGTGGGGGTCGTTCAGAAACTCCGCCCCCGCCCCAAGGTCACGAAGCAACAAACATGTCGGAACTAGAGTCCTTGTTCTCAGAGTATAGGGTTTGTCGTCCTGCGCACCAAGTTCGAAGTTGCTTGTGGCCATGCCAACAACTTGACGGAGAGGAGCACCATGGAACTGGCAGGCACCAAGTAATCTTTGGTACAGACATGACTCGTCCCAACAGCCCTGGATGCTTGTCTTCTAGACTCTATAGACCCAAACCCGGAAGTTGAAATCCTCCAGGCGGTTCTTGCGCCTGCAACTTCGCCTTCTATGGTGCTGCATGCCTGGGACTTGGGAGGGAGATGTTGGCTTTCTAGAGAGCCATCAGTATTTGCGAAACACTTGACAAACCCACCCGTACAACAACAAACGCAAACGGCGGTTCATGAAACGTTGTATTTAAGTCTGCTGGTCATTGGCTGGGTCTTTTTGTCTTTTTGTTGAACTAATCTTTCACAGTGGATCCGTTTGTATGGCCAGGGTTGCTGACTCCCCTCTACGTGTTTCTCTTCTTGTCCGTCTGCCCCCTGGGCTGCTTGGCTGTCCAGCGGTGTCTCTGTGCTCATCGATCCACCGGGCTCCGGCACCGAGCGTTCGTGGCTCATGATCTTTAGAAATTTACGAGCAACTAGAGCACTGAAGATCTGGTGTTGGTGTCAGCGCCTGCTGTAGGCACGGATTCGCAATTCGCAGGATTTTGTTCAATGTCGTGTGTCTCGTGTAAGTGCTTGAGTTCACGTCCGGCTAAGTCCCGTGTCCAGCAGCGGCACTCACAGGGCTCACCAACACAATTACGCTGTTAACACTGCTGAAACACTGTTGATGCTGCTCCTGATCGTGCGCTTGCTGCTGGTACGGCTAATCATCCTACTGCCACCTTGGCGCTGCGACATGTGCGCAGACCTGCGCCTTATGGTGCTGTGGCAACACAACAACAACAACACCAACAGCAGCAGCAGCAACAGCAACAGCAACAGCAACAACAACAACAGCAGCAGCAACAACACCACCACCACCACCACCAACAACAACAACGACAACAACGACAACAACAGCGACAGCAACAGCAACAGCAACAGCAACAGCAACAGCAACAGCAACAGCAACAGCAACAGCAACAGCAACAACACCACCACCAACAACAACACCACCACCACCAACAACAACAGCAACAGCAACAGCAACAGCACCAGCACCAGCACCGGCACCGGCACCAGCAACAGCAACAGCACCAGCACCAGCACCAGCACCAGCAACAGCAACAGCAACAGCAACAGCAACAACGACACAAGCACCAAGCAACAAACTGCCAACGACAACAACAACAAGTACTGCTACTACTGCTACCGCTACTACTACTACTACTACTACTACTACTACTACTACTACTACTACTACTACTACTACTACTCCTACTACTACTACTACTACTACTCCTACTACTACTACTACTATTACTACTACTACTACGACGACGACTACCATCACGAGTACCACTACTACTTCTACCACCACAAATTCCCACTAGCACCAGCACTAGCATTATTAACTATTACTAGCACTAGCAGTAGTACTGCTAGTGGTAGTGGTATTATGACTACTACTACGACTAGTACGACCACTTCGACGACTACGACTACTACGAGTACTACGACGACTACGACGACTACGACGACTGCCACTACTACCGCTAGCACGCGTACTGCTACTAAATCTGCACCTGCAACTGCTACTGCCACTGCCACTGCCACTGCCACTGCTACTGCTACTGCTACTGTTACTGCTGCTGCTGCGGCTGCTACAACATCATACTACCACTACTACTACTACTACTACTACTACTACTACTACTACTACTACTACTACTACTACTACTACTACCCGTTTTGCGTGTATTTGACGCCATGCTTTTCCTGCTTTTGGGACATCTGCGACTTGGTTTCAGGGCCTAGATATACTGGTATTTACAGCATTTCCGTGGTTATTCGTTTTTATCTCTTTAAAGAAGGACCATGCAGACCCGAGCGCCAGAACGACCTAAAATACAGTCATCATCATCATCATCATCATACTCATCAACATCATCATACTCAGGGCCTAGATATACTGGTATTTACAGCATTTCCGTGGTTATTCGTTTTTATCTCTTTAAAGAAGGACCATGCAGACCCGAGCGCCAGAACGACCTAAAATACAGTCATCATCATCATCATCATACTCATCAACATCATCTTACTCATCAACATCATCATTGACCTGGGGGGGGGGGGTGGGGGGGGGCTAATCGCGAGCATGTTTGACATCATCATCATAACAGTAACATTCAAAACCGTCAAATTCATTGTCGCCATCAACATCATCATCACGGTGATAGACAATATCATCATACTCATCAACATCATCATACTCAGGGCCTAGATATACTGGTATTTACAGCATTTCCGTGGTTATTCGTTTTTATCTCTTTAAAGAAGGACCATGCAGACCCGAGCGCCAGAACGACCTAAAATACAGTCATCATCATCATCATACTCATCAACATCATCTTACTCATCAACATCATCATTGACCTGGGGGGGGGGGGGTGGGGGGGGGGCTAATCGCGAGCATGTTTGACATCATCATGGCATGACTTTCACTTGAGCCGATAAAACCCACGATCCAGGGCGCTCGGCTCACAACGACATGCGCATGCGGAAATGACGTCCCTGCCGTGTGTTTCGGACATGCATGCACCAAAAAACACAGCGTCAAATACACGCAAAGCGCGTACTACTACTACTACTACTACTGCTACTACTACTACTACTACTACTACTAGTACTACTGCTACTACTACTACGACTACTACTACTACTACTACTACTACTACTACTACTACTACTACTACTACTACTACTACTACTATTACTATTACTATTACTATTTTTATAACTACTACTACTACTACTACGACTACTACTACTCCTACCACTACTACTACTACTACTACTACTACTACTACTACTACTACTACTACTACTACTACTACTACTAGGCTTGCGCGCCTCCTGGCGCCTGGTAGTTTGGAGGTGTTCGAGGGTCAAAAGTATCGGTTTTTACAGGGTTTTGTGAAAATCGCAGTTTGGGTACGTTGTCCAAAACTACTTTGTTTTACTAATAATTACACTTTTGGATGACGATGATGATGCTAGTGATGCTACTGATGATGGTGAAGATGCTGAGAATGCCAACGATGTGCATGTAAAAATCGCGGTTCAGCATGTCGTGATTTACACCCCCCACCAAACCCTCCCCTCCCAGTGGAACAAAAGGCCCCATAAAACGCTCCACAGTACCGGCACTGCCAGTGTTTCTGGCAACAAGAAAACCATTGCGGTCGACCATAATAGTGTACTGTGCTACTGCTACTGCCACTGTTACTGCTACTGCCAACACAGGAAAATCGAGCCACTGTGCGGGCCCCGCCTGATGACCCCCCCGCACCAGTGGAAGAAAATGCTTCGAAAACACACGAACATCGAGCCACACCGTGGGGATTGCGTTTTCGGCAAAAATCGCGGTTCAGCATGTCGTGATTGACACCCACACCAAACCCTCCCCTCCCAGTGGAACAAAAGGCCCCATAAAACGCTCCAAAGTACCGGCACTGCCAGTGTTTTTGGCAACAAGAAAACCATTGCGGTCGACCATAATAGTGTACTGTGCTACTGCCACTGTTACTGCTACTGCCAACACAGGAAAATCGAGCCACTGTGCGGGCCCCGCCTGATGACCCCCCCGCACCAGTGGAAGAAAATTCTTCGAACGAACATCGAGCCACACCGTGGGGATTGCGCTTTCGGCAAAAATCGCGGTTCAGCATGTCGTGATTGACACCCCCACCAAACCCTCCCCTCCCAGTCGAACAGAAGGCCCCATAAAACGCTCCAAAGTACCGGCACTGCCAATGTTTTTGGCAACAAGAAAACCATTGCGGTCGACCATGTCGTTATTAACCCCACCCCCCCACCCCGCCCCCCCAACCCAAAACCTCCCCGAAACACTTGAAGACAGAGCAAAACACCAGGCGCCAGGAGGCGCGCATGGGTACTACTACTACTACTGCTACTACTACTACTACTACTACTACTACTACTACTACTACTACTACTACTACTACTACTACTACTACTACTTACTACCTACTACTACATACTACGACATACTACTACTACTACTACTACTACTACCACTACTACTACTACTACTACTCCTCCTACTACTAGTACTACTACTACTACTACTACTACTACTACTACTACTACTACTACTACTACTACTACTACTACTTCTACTACTACTACTACTACGACTACTACTACGCCTCCTTCTACTACTACTACTACTGCTGCTACTACTAGTACTACTACTTCTACTACTGCTACTACTACTACTACTACGACTACTACTACTACTACTACTACTACGAGTGCTACTAATACTACTACTACTACTACTGCTACTACTACGACGACATACGACGACGACGACGACGACTACTACTCCTCCTATTACTACTACTCCTCCTATCACTACTACTACTACTACTACTACTACTACGACTACTACTACGCCTCCTTCTACTACTACTACTACTACTACCACTACTACTACTACTACTACTACTACTACTACTACTACTACTACTAGTACTACTAGTACTACTAGTACTACTAGTACTACTAGTACTACTAGTACTAGTACTAGTACTACTACTAGTACTACTACTACTACTACTACTACAACTACTACTACTACTACTACGACTACTACTACTACTACTACTACTTCTTCTTCTTTCTTCTTCTGCTACTTCTCCTTCTTCTACTACTGCTACTACTACTACTTCTACTACTACGACGACTACGACCACTACCTCAATCAGCCCCACATTCGTCGCTACAAATATCATGGGTCAGCTTTAGAATACTTGTCGTCATTACCGCCCTCGTCGTCTTGATCTCACCAGCATAGTCGTCATCGTCTTCATGCCCGTTCGGACCAGTCGACGTCGTCATCAGCATAATCAGCGCAATCATCATCAGCACCATCTTCAGCAACACCACCGTCAGCATGATCGTATTTCTCAGCGCAACCAATGATGGCGGTAGTAACATTCGTGAATTGGTGCCAGTGGTTTTCCTTATTCTGCAATCGTATGTTTTTCTAATGAACCGTAGCATTGTGATAAGACCAAAAATCACATCGGGATGCATATCATTGCACTTTACTAGTTACTAGCTTCGCAAGCGAATGCCATCAGGCGAGTATCCGCGCTGCAAGAATGACTGCAACGGTCACGGCTACTGCGACAGCGGCAAGTGCGTTTGCCGCTAGGCTTCTGAGCGCCTGTAGAGGAGAGAAGTGGGAAAGGTGTTCGCGACCAGCGTGGGACATATGGCTTGGAAGAAGTTTGGTGTCACAATCAGCAAAGCCCACCTTGAGTAACGACTTTCCCTTGGAGCTCGATGCAGAATGAGGGTCGGAATCTCTCACTCCATGCCCCTGGAAAATGCCGAGATTACGAGATTGAAGCATGGGTCCAGAGTAGAGAGCCCCGGTATGAGATCAGGCAATGCTGGCTACCACGGAGCAGCTTGCGACGAGTTCAAGGCACCTTTGAATGCCTTTGAACCCCTCTCTATCTCTCTCTCTCTCTCTCTCTCTCTCTCTCTCTCTCTATCTCTCTCTTTCGGTACCTGTGCGTCTTCGTTTGTTGTGTGTGTGTGAGTCTGTGTCTGTGTGTCTGTGTGAGAGAGAGAGAGAGGGAGACGCAGAGAGATAGAGAAATAATTTCGCGTTTGAGAGTGAAATGCTCAATCCCAACAACGACTTCCATAAGGCTGCCCGTATTTCTGTGGGATGTTTATGGTTTTGGCCTGCTGAGTTTGAGCCTACATGTTCGTCTCCATATCCTCAAGCCCATCAGGGTGCTGAACCTTCAGTAAGCCTCATACTCTCACGCCCGAGGCTTGATTCTGTTTTCCACCACCAATCCTCGAAAAGCTAGGCTCCTCACTCTTTTGACTATGTGTACAAATGCGGATATTGTACTGAAAGTTGTCAACCTCTTTGTTTTGTCTAGTGGGTATGGAACTCACGGGAGACCTGGGAGAAGTCCTTGCGCACGAGACCTTTGGTTGTTGCCTCGCGACGACTTTTTTGAATTGGCGCGGCACTTTCCAAGCTGAGATGCCTCGCGTCTCATGCGATTTCATGGATCCATGCTCTAATCGCCAGCAAACAACCTCTAAGTCTGCATGCAGCCACTAAATCCAATGAAGTTGTCAGGAACCCCAGCCGGTCACACCGGCAGTCGTCTCGGTCGAACCGAGCAAGGAGGTGGATGCGCGGGTTTCCGGTTTAGATGTCTGGGCTCGAGACCCCAAACCCTTGCGTGGCAGGCTTTGGGTGTAGCGTTGGCCACACCTTGCACGCCAAAGCCCCAACCTCGAGTTCCTCCAGGGGTGGTCGCGGCGAGCCTTTGTGCTTTGGAATCATGCACACTAAACTCAAACCCTAAACCCTGTTCAATACCTCGTGGGTGGGGCAGACTTCCGCACGATTGCCCCATGCGAGGCCGCGGAGCGAGTGTCTTCGTTTGGGGAGAAGGCAGCTGCCAGCACGACTGTTCAGGATTTGCCAGGACCTGCCCAAGGCAAATTGAAGCGCTGAGCAAATGAATGGATGCTGGAATAGACAGTGCACAATAGAAAATAGTTGGAGAGCGCGTAGGCTCCTGACTCGGGCTGGCCACCTCCGGGTGCAGGTGCCGAGCCCTTCCCAGCACAATCTTCTGCTCTGCTTGAAATCATCGTGTAAATATTGCCTCAGAACATACAAAACGTGAGATCACCCGAAGCCCTCAGCCCCGTACAAGTCGCATTTTCTGGCAACCTCAAACTAAAATAATGTAAAGTTGGGTCAAGCATGTGCTGGCAATAGTGATAATCAAACAAAAAATACCATGTCGTGGCTGTTGGGCTGTAAATGAAAACACCACCGCTATCGGTGCCACCCCCTCTCCCATGGGCGTGCTGAGGCGCCATTTGCACGTCATACTAACCCTCGCCAGGGTGGCGAGGAGCCCCAAATCCTTAAGCCCAAACCCCAAACCCCCTTTGAAGCCAAAGCCGCCAGGTGCGCAGCATTGCTCCGCCCAGTTGTCCAGAGGAGCAGTCCGGATGCTGGTCGGTCTGTTCTGGCTCTATGGTTGGCATGGGGAGTTCGGGTTCCAGATCTTGTTGCTCTAGCTGTGGGGCTTTGGGGTTTCAGCCGTAGGGCATCAATGTTCCATGATGTGTGTGCAAGTCCGCGGGCTTAGATCTTGGGTTTTGGGCTTTAGGGTGTAGTTTAGTGTTTCGGTTCAGGATAATGGGAACGTGAAAGCTACAGCAACACTGTTTTGCACATTTTCCAATACCTAACAGCACGGACCTGGCAGGACTGCAACCAGCGTGGCAGGCTCCCGGGACCGAGGACTTGATGTATTTGATGGAGAGTGGGGAGGTATTTTCTCCAAGTTTGAGGTCAGGTCTGAAGCTGTGTGAGTGCAAGCTGTTGCAGTATGGTAGGGTTCGAGGGCCGGGCCTTAGGGAGTAGCACGTTTAGTATTCTGGCTTGTAGGGGGTGCGAAAGAACAGTGTCCCAAAGCGGTTCCGCCATTGTGGCCGCATTACGGCGACCGCTGCGGTCCCCTTGCTATCATGTTTACATCCATTACTACTACTGCTACGACAACTACTGCTACTTCTACTCCTACTGCAAGTGCTGCTACTGCTACTGCTGCTGCTGCTACTACTACTACGACGACTACGACTACTACTCCTCCTCCTCCTACTACTTCTACTACTACTACTACTACTACTCCTCCTATCACTACTACTACTACTACTACTACTACTACTACGACTACTACTACTACTACTACTACTACGCCTCCTTCTACTACTACTACTACTACTACCACTACTACCACCACTACTACTACTACTACTACTACTACCACTACTAGTAGTACTACTACTACTACTACTACTACTAGTACTACTAGTACTACTAGTACTACTAGTACTACTAGTACTACTAGTACTACTAGTACTACTAGTACTAGTAGTACTAGTAGTACTAGTCCTTTTACTAGTACTAGTACTTGTACTACTACTACTACTACTACTACTACTACTACTACTACTGCTACTACTACTACTACTACTACTTCTTCTTTCTTCTTCTGCTACTTCTCCTTCTTCTACTACTGCTACTACTTCTACTACTACTACTGCTGCTACTACTACTACTACTACTACTACTACTCCTACTCCTACTCCTACTCCTACTCCTACTCCTACTCCTACTCCTACTCCTACTCCTACTCCTACTCCTACTGCTGCTGCTGCTGCTACTACTCCTACTACTACTACTCCTGCTGCTGCTACTACTACTACTACTACTACTACTACTACAACTACTGCTGCTGCTGCTGCTGCTACTGCTTCTAGCACGATTGCTACTAGCACCGCTGCTACTACCATGACTACTAGCATGTTCAGTGTTGTCAAAAACTTCTACCAAGCTTCGAAATTGATCGTAACACTCGGTCCCATTGTTGTGATTGGTCTGAATTTTGATACTATTGTTTGGTGTTGGAAGGGGCTCCAATGTTTTGAATCTACAGATATTGGAAATCGGACGCTGCGAGATCGACGGTTTTAGCCCGATCCTCGAACCCCCCACTGCATTCCAACCCTGTTCTGCCTAAACCTCGACCCACAACCCACAACAACAGGACGGAGTTGAGAATGAGAGTGGTGACGCTTCCGATAGCAAACATCAAAAGGAATAGAGACACCGTATTGTCGCCCCTGTGTGCACGGTTACCTATTTCAACGCCACACACACTGCAATGCTTGCACACATGAACAACTCATAGTAAGAGTCTCCTGACAGGTGTGAGCTGGACGGAACCTGTACGTGCATCGCCAACTATACTGGACTGGCTTGCGAGCACCACTGCCCTAGTTTCTCAGCCTCAGATACAAATCTCACCATTCCGGATCGGTGCTTGCTTAAATCCGAAACAGCGAGGGTTTCGTCGTTCAGGTATCAGGGTCTAGGGGGGTTCATAACTAGTAAGCCTGGAGTTTTCTTGCTTCCTTGTTCCAGGCCCCAGGGTATAAGGGCTTTCGGATTGAGGGGTTCAGGATTCTAGCTGAAGTTCAAAAGCATCCCCCCTTTTCTCCTTGATCCTCAGCGGCAGCCAGTGAACCTCCGTGCCTCAGGTTCCTGCAATGGCCAGGGCACATGCACCGGAGGTCAGGGCGGGGGTGGACACGGTTCAGAGCACCGTTGATTTAGACGTGGCAGGGCCTCTCAAAAGCCGGCTTATCGCAGTAATCGCTAACAACACAAACCTGCTCTGCTGAACCAATTTTATTTAGTAATTATTGGCAGTGGTGGTAGTGGTGGCAGTAGAGTAGCAGCAGTAGCACAGGAGCAGGAGCCGCAGCCGGAGCCGCAGCAGCACCACCTCCATCGGCAGCAGCAGCAGTAGGAGCAGCGGGAGCAGCAGGAGCAGGAGCAGCAGCAGGAGCTGTAGCTGAAGCTGTAGCTGTAGCACCAAGCCTAAAGCCCCAAACTCTGCTGAGATCTTTGGTCAGGCCAGTGCGTTTGCTTCTTCGGATGGGGCGGTGTGGACTGCTCCATGGCGATGTGCTGCAATGGCCATGGCGATTGCCCAATGCCAGGCGAAGTTTGAGGGTGTATGAGGGAGCAAGGTTGTAACCTAGCGAGCTTTTGGGTCTGCGGCCTTCTGCTTCGTAAAGGTTAGGTCATCGTTTAATGCTTCGGGGGTAGACTCTAGAATCGTACTACAGTCTCTAATGGTTCCAGCCGAATTACAAGTTGCAGAGTCCTGCAAGCGTTTTGAACCCTAACCCCTTTGTATCAACCGCAACGATAAGCTGCAATCTTACAGCTTGGGATCTGTGAGACCACAATAAGCGCGTGTTGTCTTGCGTCGTCTGTTCCTGAGGATCCGAAGGAAGCCCCAATCCAAAGTCTAGCCAAAATCGCTGCCGAGTTCCTTGGAAAGTGCTTTTCTTCTTGTTGATTTGACTTAGTCTCGTTGGTTATCAGCTTATGCGCGTGTATATGTGGTGTGCATGTGTGTGTGTGTGTGTATGTATGTATGTGTATATATATATATATACATGTGTGTTTGTTGCTTTTTGTTTTTGTTTTGTTGGTTGTTGTTTGTTGCCTTCACAGCATACACATGCGGTGGCTTCTCCACAGACCTTTGCTCGGGCTGTCCCGGTCGCTGTCTCACTCAGTCACTCTCACTCTCGCTCTCACTCTCACTCACTCACTCACTCACTCTCTCTCTCTCTCTCTCTCTCTGTCTCTCTCTCTCTCTCTCTCGCTCGCTCGCTCTCGCTCTCTCCCTTGCTCTCCTTCCCCATTTACCTCTACACATACATGTACCTCCAACTCTACATGTGGTTATAACCATAGCTGTGTTTACAATTATGTCTAGTTCCACATAGAGGTTTATTCTTACAGACACCGACATGCATGAGCCATCCAAATTCCGCTATGAACGGTTCCTAAGCCGCAACCCTGAGTCGTCAACCCGGAAGGTTCCTGCAAGTGCCATCCCGGCTGGATGGGAGAGCAATGCGAAATCGAGATCAAATGCCCCCCGGTGGTTGCAGTTGTGCTTTGAGTACGGTTTTTAGCGACGTGCAATATACTCAAGAAACCATGTCTCCATACATTCCTTTTCATCTATGCTTGCAGCAGAACCTTCTTACGTCAAGCCCGGGCGTTGTGGCTCCTTTGCTTTAGACCCGTGGCTCTGCAGGGGTTCGCAGTCTAACACTTCGGCTCGGACATTAGTCATGTGATCATCCAGGCTCAGACTAGGGCATGCGGCAGGCGAGACTAAAGCTCGTGCTGAGGAACGGTCATATATCAAGGAAGACTCTACCCATCCACCCGAATCAAACCCAATTTTCCCGATTCAATCCTGAACTCCAGAACAGAGCAACTTGAGCCTAGCGCTGCTCACCCTAAGTCTATGTCCTAACAGCCATCTCATGACGCACCCTAGCTGCAGGCCCTGATCCGGCACCTTGGCAACATACAGAATTGTGCGAAGGGTTCTTTGGGTGTCTTCACAACCACATAGCAGTATGATTAACTCTCCTAGGAGTTGAAGTTGCCGGATCACACTACGGCTTCGGGCCATGTTGTATCAGAAGACGATGCAAGCTCTTCGAGCACGGACCCGGGATCGGACTGTGGAAATATTGCTTAAACCGACGTGGACCCGAAGTATGTCTGTAGGGTTCTTAGTGATTCAGGACCTTGATGTTGGTATTCAGGCATAGTGGCTTTGCAGCAAGATCGCTGGAAGACTCGCAACCGTCCAGGCCATGTGCTGATATTTGCCTGAGGCCTGAAGCTCAGGCGCTCGATTGGCTTCAACCGGAACGATAAGACACAAAATCACACTAAAACCTCCTACTCCGAGAACCTGTACACTCCCGGGAAACCTCTCCCCAACTGCAGCTTCAAAGGATTGCTCCGGGCACGGCACATGCTTCCTTGGAACGTGCAGGCTTTCGGGCTTAGGGGATCAATTCCAGCTTTCTGCTTCCTTTGTTTAGGCTCCCTTATGATACCTTTGTTCCTGTTTTGTTTCGGGGGTTCTTTTTCTTATACTGAACAGTGGAGAAAGCGGGGCTCTTCCCTGAGGGTATCAGATGGGCAGGTCAGGTCTATAGCGCGTCTGCGGACTTACTACACTTCCATGACCAGTTAGACCGGAGGGCTGCTCCGCCGGATGTTTCGATTGCTTTTTCTATCACTCGCTAGGAAATCGGATTCAGGGTGCACGGTTGGGGGACAGATGGACGAAGGTCCCAGAAGCTCAACCTGACACACAGGCTGACAAGTTGACATCTGTATGTCAAGTTTGTGGATTCGCCACGCCCATCGAAATAAATCGGGCGCACCTGTGGTCCCTGAGTTCCTCTTACTTCCATCTTCCTCAACATAATGCAATTCAGCATATTCCTGCTGTGTTCAGGCCTAAGTCAGTGCCTTGTAATGCTACGAGCATTGTCGGAGCATTAGGCTTTGCAGGTGTTTCGCAGTGCTCTGCATCACGTGGCCCTGTAGGTTGCTCTGGGGTTTGCTGACACAGATGATCTTATAAGCTTATAGGGGCTAGCAGAATTATGATTGTGTTTGTGAGATGTGGGGTTGTGTGATTTCGCGGATTTTGCGACGTGTTGGTTGCTACGGAGCCATCATGTGTGATCATGAGTTTTTTGGCACCCTTAACCCTGACATTTACAAATGTAATTCGAAAAAGCCTTTGCCCTGAGCAAGCATTAGGGCTGAGAGCTAGCTGCTCCAAATCATTCATCCCAGACCGGGAAACATCGCAGCCGACAGCAATCCTAAAGCCTTGCGACACAATCCTCGTCCTACACTGTGGGAGCTTGACGAGTAGGAGTCGCGCCGTGTACACCTAGCATGTAAACCTGCAGCCCTGGCACATGGCACTACAGCCCTGCTTGCTAGATCTAGCAGGTGCCAAGCTGGCTGGGCTGGTGCCGCCTGTCATCAGTAGCTTGGATGCAGCTGGGAGCTATTCCTTGTACCGCTGCTAAATACTGGGTCTGCTGTGGCACTACGACGAGTTCCAGCCTCCTGCTCCTGCGCCTGCCACTGCCACTTGCACTGTTGCTACGACGACGACTACTGTGACTGCTTCTACTATTGCTGCTGCTACTACTACTACTACCACCACCACTCCTGCTGCTGCTGCTGCTACTACGACTACTACTGCTACTGCTACTGCTACTGCTACTGCTACTGCTACTGCTACTGCTACTGCTGTTGCTACTGCTGCTGCTGCTGCTGCTGCTACTAGTCCAAGAACTACTACTAGTAGTAGTACTACTACTACTCCTACTACTGCTACTACTACTGCTGCTACTACTACTGCTGCTGAACTGTTACTGCTAAACTGCTCCTACTCCTACTCCTTCTACTCCTTCTCCGGTTACTCCTACTCCCACTCCCACTCCTACCCCTACTCCTACTGCTACACTGCCCTGCCCTTTGCTCTTTGCTCTTCGTTTTCTGCCCTTTGCCATCTGCCATGGATGTATGGATGACCAACTATACAACTAGCCACTTGCCTAGCTACCGAACTACCTGTTTGAGTATTTAACTGGGCTGCCGACCGGCAACTTGCTGACGAACTTACGATCTCAGGAAATCGCCAGCCCACTCCCTTTTTTCACGTGTAAAACTAATTGTACAGGTTAGCGTTGTGGTGCAGCTGGCAATGATCATGTTCTGCAGGTTTTGCCATCCTTGTGTTGCTAGTATTCCTAGTAGTCTCTCCAGCGACATTCTGCACGTTGCTAGTCTTGTCCCTGCTCTTCGGGCGAGCACTCGGCAAGTTGAGGCTTCGCCGCTGTTCGGCAAGCCCGAGATCCTAAACCTTCGTTGTGCTCGGACAGGTGTTAGCAATACGAGCACCCTTCCAGCTGCGAGTACCAAGCCACTGACGCCAAATCCTGAAGCCAGATGCAACTGTGTATACCGCACCTGAGGTATGTCCCTCCGCCTCTCCCACCTGGACAGACCGCTATGGCCGGAGTGAGCCTTGCTCTAATTCCACACCGAATGTTCTGACAAGTTTAGGATGATTTGGGGTTGTTGCAGTTGTAGACTGTGGGGTTGAGATGCAACTGTTACGGTTATATGAACATGGTTGAAGGGTTTAGGGCTTCAGGGCTTCATGATGGGGTTTGCAAGTTGCAAGTTGCAGAAGTGTTCTTGGGCTTGGGTTGGTCGTAAAGTCCCAGTTCTGTAACTTACATGTTTCTTTGATTCCCGGCGACCCGAACATGGAACGACCTCCGAACCATCCAGAATCAGAGATGTTGGTATCAGTATGATGCGAAGTTGGGAGGATACTTGAGGTTCAGAGATCCTGATTTGTCTGACACTTCCAGTCCGAAGGGGGTCCGAATGGGGGCCCTTGGCAGTCCAAAGCTGAGTAACGACACAAGAGCTCACTGGCACTCAGGATAAATCATACGACCTTCGTATTCCGACAGCGCACAACCTCCGAACCCTCATCATTCATCTCCTAAATCCTCAACCCCGCAAAGCCGAGACCCCGAATCGGCAGAACTGAACCCCAAGCACCCCTAGAATAAAGGCTCCAGCGGTTCACCTGCCTGAAGCCCCTGCTTTCCCTAAACTTGCACCTGCCCTAAGTCTTGATCCCACACCCGCCCTGCGACAGGTTCCAGGACCTGA